ATTACACCGAAGATGTGGAAGACTTTGCGTTGAATTTCACGGTCACAGACACCATACCACTTCCGAACGGAGGCAGTCGTACCGTTACTCGAGATCTGAAAAGCAACGGATCTGACATTCCAGTGACCAACCAGAATCGCCTGGTTTATATCTCTTACATTGCTCGATATCGTCTGCAGGTACAGCCTGCACTGCAGACAAATGCATTCCTGCAAGGCCTGGGACACATCATTCAGCCGTCTTGGTTGTCGATGTTTAATCAGTCGGAGCTGCAAACCTTGGTCAGTGGGGAGTCCGGAGATATAGATGTTTCGGACCTGAGACGCAACACGCTGTACGGAGGGGTGTATACCATCGGCGACGACAAGGAAGAGCACCCGACGGTTAAGCTTTTCTGGCAGGTCATGGAACAGATGTCGAACGAGGAACGGCAGAAAGTGCTGCGATTCGTGACGTCGACCCCTCGAGCTCCGTTGCTAGGGTTTAGCCATCTCAATCCGCGATTCAGCATTCGCGACTCTAGTGAAGACCAGGACCGACTGCCCAGCACTAGTACCTGCGTGAACCTGCTCAAACTGCCACGGTATACAAATGCTAAAGTTCTGCGCGAGAAGCTGCTTTATGCCATCAACTCGGGGGCTGGCTTTGACCTCAGTTAAGTTTGGTTGCATTTCTGCAGTGACATGATTGACGGTTGATTGCCGTTGCTTGTTTATTGATGATAGATATCTCAATCAAGAGGGTGTGCTTGAGAACGTTAGACTATAATTTTTCTGGGTTGCATAGCTGAGGCGTCATAGGGCTTTCTTTATCTTTGTTGTGTTGTTTCTTTGATTGTTGGGCTCCGGTCCCTCATGGGTGGCTCGGATTCAACCTCTTTGTCGATACATCCCTCAAATTTGATGTCAATAATGGCTTGTACTTTTTGTACACTCATAGGACATGCGTCAACCCCTTCATCTCGGTTGTTGTGTACGTCGTCGTCTCTTATCATATTCGCCGCTCAAGTCAAGCCCTTGAAGCGGCGAGGGTAGACTACCGTAAATGGACTAGCGTGATTTACCACCTTTGAATTTTCCAGAACAAAAAAACAGAAGCAAAAAAAAAAAAAAGAAAAAAAAAAAAAGTTCGTCACCAAAAAATCCACTTTTTTTTTCTCTCTCTTTCGCTCTTTCCCTTTTTCTCTCTTTTCTCCCCTCCTCCCTCAATCCGCCTTTTCTGCTGCATCACCAGCAATTCTTCTTCTTCTTTCTTCTTCTTCCTCCTCCTTGTAAAAGGTCCTTTACTTTCTCCTTTTTCGAATCCATCGAAAGAGAGAAAATAAAAAACTCCTAAAAAAAACCCGGAAAATCGTATAAAAAAAGGTTGACTATCTCAGTCGAACTCTTTTCCATCATCTCGAACTGTGCGGTGTGTGTGTGTGTGTGTGGAAGAATTTCCTCGTCCGCCTTTTCTTCATCCCTCGTGATCGCGTCACTTCTCATCGCCCATCTCCATCAAACACCTCCCGATCTCGCTAGACGATTTCATATACACTGTATGTTGTGACTGTGTGCTGCATTTAATTCCTTGCTCTTCCTACCAGCTTGTGATTTTTGTCCAGCTGCTTGAAGCAAGTCACTGCTCTGCTGCTCCAGCGCACAAAGCGCACACCCTTGTGTTTGGTGATAACACTTCTATTGGCCTCCTGCTATTCTCTGTGTTTGAATCTCAGCAGACCTTTCAGGAAGTTATTACTGTCATCTTGGATTGATTGGTTCAAGCTAAGGCCGAGAGCCTCCAAGCTTTTCGTCTCCATCATCCTTCGTTTCTTCCTTCAGACTTCCGTCTCCGATCATCATCTCATCCCGGTGTTACTGCTCGCTAACAGTCTGCTCTTCGTTTGCTTTAGTAAAAGAAAATCAAAATGTCTGCCGAAGTCTCTACCACCCCCGCCGCTGACAACACTGTCAACGGCGCCCCCGAGGCCACCAACCCCGCTGCCACCAGCGCTCCTGAAGTTACCGCTGTTGAGAGCTCCTCTCCCTCTGCTACTCCCAGCGCCAACCAGCCCCACTCTGCTTCCCTCTACGTCGGTGAACTCGACCCCTCCGTCACCGAGGCTATGCTCTACGAGCTCTTTTCCTCCATTGGCCAGGTTGCCTCCATCCGTGTCTGCCGTGACGCCGTTACCAGACGCTCTCTCGGATATGCCTACGTTAACTACAACAACACTGCCGATGGCGAGCGCGCCCTCGAGGATCTGAACTACACCCTGATCAAGGGCAAGCCCTGCCGTATCATGTGGTCCCAGCGTGACCCCGCTCTGCGCAAGACTGGCCAGGGCAACGTCTTCATCAAGAACCTGGACGCTGCGATCGACAACAAGGCTCTCCACGACACCTTTGCCGCCTTCGGAAACATTCTGAGCTGCAAAGTCGCTCAGGATGAGTTTGGTAACTCCAAGGGATATGGTTTCGTCCACTACGAGACCGCCGAGGCCGCCAACAACGCCATCAAGCATGTCAACGGCATGCTGCTGAACGACAAGAAGGTCTTCGTCGGCCACCACATCTCCAAGAAGGACCGCCAGAGCAAGTTCGAGGAGATGAAGGCCAACTTCACCAACGTCTACATCAAGAACATTGACCAGGAAGTTACCGAGGAGGAGTTCCGCAAGATGTTCGAGAAGTTCGGTGAGATCACCTCCGCCACTCTGAGCCGTGACCAGGAGGGTAAGAGCCGTGGTTTCGGTTTCGTCAACTTCTCCACCCATGACAGCGCGCAGGCCGCCGTCGAGGAGATGAACGATAAGGAGATCAAGGGACAGAAGCTCTACGTTGGCCGTGCCCAGAAGAAGCACGAGCGCGAGGAGGAGCTGCGCAAGCAGTACGAGGCCGCTCGCTTGGAGAAGGCCTCCAAGTACCAGGGTGTCAACCTCTACGTGAAGAACCTCACTGATGACGTCGATGACGAGAAGCTGCGCGAGCTCTTCAGCCCCTACGGCACCATCACCTCCGCCAAGGTCATGCGTGACACCCTCACCCCCGGAGAGACCTCCGAGTCCGACAAGGAGAAGGAGTCCAACAAGGAGAACGAGAAGGAGGGTGAGGAAAAGACCGAGGAGGCGCCCAAGGAGTCCGAAGAGGACAAGAAGGAGGAGCCCAAGAAGACTGAGAAGAAGCTTCTTGGAAAGAGCAAGGGTTTCGGTTTCGTCTGCTTCAGCAGCCCCGATGAGGCCTCCAAGGCCGTCACCGAGATGAACCAGAGAATGGTCAACGGCAAGCCTCTGTATGTGGCTCTTGCCCAGCGCAAGGATGTCCGCAGAAGCCAGCTCGAGGCCAGCATCCAGGCTCGCAACACCATCCGTCAGCAGCAGGCCGCCGCTGCCGCTGGTATGCCCCAGCCAGTATGTATCCCTGATTTTCGCGTTGTTGATTGTTCGCTCGCAAAATGAACACCGTTGCTAACTCTAATGCAGTACATGCAGCCCGCTGTCTTCTACGGTCCTGGTCAGCAGGGCTTCATTCCCGCTGGTCAGCGCGGTGGCATGCCTTTCGCTCCTCAGCCCGGTATGGTGATGGGCATCCCTGGCGGACGCCCCGGCCAGTACCCCGGTCCCTTCCCTGGTCAGCAGGGTGGACGTGGCATGGGCCCCAACCAGCAGATTCCTCCCAACTTCCAGGGCATCCCCATGGGCGCCATGCAGGGCCCCGGTGGCATTCCCAACGGTATGGGTTACCCTCAGATGGCTCAGGTACAGTTCGGACGCGGTGCTGGTGGCCGCGGTCAGGTGCCCGGAATGCCCATGGGTCAGGGCATGCGTGGTCCCGGTTACGGACAGGGCCGTGGCGGTGCCCCCGTCCAGGGAGGCCCTCGTCCTCAGGGTGGTCGCGGTCAGAACGCCCCTGCTCAGCCCGCCGCCGGTCGCGAGGAGGCTCCCGCCCCTGGTGGTCTCACTGCCCAGACTCTCAATGCTGTCCCTCCTCCTCAGCAGAAGCAGATGCTGGGTGAGGCTCTCTACCCTAAGATTCAAGCTCAGCAGCCCGAGCTGGCCGGCAAGATCACTGGTATGCTTCTGGAGATGGAAAACGCTGAACTGCTTGGCCTGTAAGTTTCTCTTTCAAGTCAATTTCGTCAAAGCGCATGCTAACGTCTTTTTATCTAGCCTTGAGGATGATGATGCCCTTCGCGCCAAGGTCGACGAGGCCCTTAGCGTTTATGACGAGTACATGAAGAACAAGGGTGAGGGCGAGGCTCCCGCTGAGTCTGCCAAGCCCCAGGAGGATGCCGCTGAGACTGCTACGGAAGAGAACAAGTCGTAGACTACGTGTCTCGGTATCTGATGCTGAGCTGGTCCTCCCAACTCTGAGATTTTGATTCACGTCTATTTTTGATGACCTACCTTTCTCTTTTCTTGAATTAACGATTCTCCCTCTACTCCTACACCTCAATCTATTTCCTTATCAGCTTCAACCCTTTTTTTTTTTTTTTTTTTTTCTCCTTTTTCCCTCCCGGTCCTGATATCCCTCCTGTTTCAAAAAGTCTTTTTTTTGCTGGTGGTGTCACGTGTCTGTGTTGCGAGCGACATGCTGTTTTGCCGGATCCCGTAGCTACATCTGCTTTCTGTCTTGCTAAGAGTCGGCAATGGCTACTGCGTGGAGCGGCTGCAGGAGCCGGTCTTGTTTCATTTCAGAAGATGGCAAAGGCAAATTGAATTTCCAATCGTGCTAGGGTCGGAGAAAAGTTTGTTCGGACACCATGGGTTTTTCAGTTGATGTTAAAGGGAGGAAGTTGTGACGTCTTTTCTCTTCCTATCCTGATTAACATGGCTACTCTCGTATCTTTCTTATCTGACGCGAGTGTAATATAGACTTATGACTTCCTCACGGGATTTTGGCCTTGCTCAATAATTCGTAGTGTAGGATTTAGCAACATGGTGTTAACCCTTGTATCTACAACCCAAGTTACGTCGTCTGAAGAGTATGAGCACAGAAGTAAACCAGATGACAAGGTAAATTTCAGAAACTTGGATACTGCTGCCCGAACATATCAAGTAGGTAGTCAAAGTTCGCTCCCTGAAGCAAATCCACTGTGTTCAGATCCAGATCCATCAGAGCCGTTGCTGTCGCGGACGAGTCATTGAGTGGAAAGGGTCGAGCGTCTTGCACCTGGCGAAGATCCGTTAGGCCGAGGTAATCAGTCTCGGTACCATTCGGAGTGGTCGTATTGAGCTCGAGTTGCACATTTCCCGACTCGGGTGCAGTCAGCGGATCTTGGCCGGCCATCGACTCCGTACTCGGAAGAGGAACAGAGGGATCATAGGAGGCGATTTTCCGTCTCTTGTTTGCAATTGAGCTTGGTGAAAAGGGTTCTTCGCGCGAGGAGGAGTCGAGGTTCGAGTTCGAGGCCGAGATTCGAGGCTGTTGTGCAGAGGTGAAGGAATGCCGGATGTTCTCGGCGAGTAAGCTCAGCGCTCGATGGCAGTGTTTTGCGGTATCCCATTGCGTGGACATGATACGGAGAAAGGCGAGGCAGTCGCTTATTTCGCTGATTTTTTTCGAGCGATGTTAGTTCGGAAACTTTCTTTTGCTACAAGAGGAAAGGGAGTGTGAAGGTGTTAAACGTACAGAGACCCCTTTGACCAGATGTACTGTCTGAGCTGGCAGGCGAAGGCGAGGACCAAACCTGCCATCCATGCTGCCGAGAGAAAGCCCGGCCAGAAGAGGGCTTGCTTTGCGTCGATCTGGGCTCTGAGTGCGGAGAGGATGCCTCTTGCGGCGCCGATGCAGGTTTGCAGGCCGGAGTTGAACTCGGGGGTCGAGGGGGGTAGGGAGAGGGAGGGACGGTTGATGAGGAGGATGAGGTGGTGGTAGAGGACTGTGAAGAAGGGGCCGAAGTGAAAGGGTTCATCATGCTGTGATTGTGGGGATGTGGAGTCCTTGTTGCTGGCCGGGTTGCCTTGGAGGTCTGGGGAGAGGCTGTTCCACCATTTGTGCACGTCTGCGACAAGGATGAGGACGGAGCTGCGCTGAACGGAGCGGACGAGGATGGACTTGTGGAAGAGCTCTAGCGCGCGGCCTGTCAATTTGCCTGATTCGACGTAGCTCATAAAAGCTATTTCTCTTTGATGTTGTTCGTGTTCTCTGGGGTCTGCGTTGTTGCTGGGGTATCTGCGTTGTGGGAGATGCTGTGGGTTGATGAGCTCAGGTTGTGCAGCTGAGGATGAAGCCGGCGTGCCCTTTGCAGGACTTTCTGCCTCAACGCGCGGAGTAGAGCCCTCACTCGTGTCTCGAACCTTGTGCAAACCGGGAGAATGCACCTCATGGGCTCCTGGAGCGCAGACGTCAATGTCCGAATCTTGTATACCCAGAGGCAAGCCCAGAGCCTGGCTCAAGTACCGATCGACAGCATACGCGCACCAGAAAATCCTTTTGCGCAACTGCCGGTCGTGTGTCGAAAGCTCTTTGTAGCGAAACGGGCATCGGTGGAGACCCGCGTGCAGCATAGACCGGAGAATACAGCCGCCTACCGTGGACGCCGTCCGAAGAGACATCTTGGCCACCAGGTACAGCTGCGCCGCGAGAAGAGCCTGCAGGGATGGGAGATCCTGCCTCCGAGTTAGAGTAGCGAGCAATGAATGCATACTTCCAGGAGATTTGACTCGGGATTCGGGCGGAAGGTCCAGATCTGGTCGCAGATGGCTTGCAAGGTTGAACACGCACTGAAAGATTGTCGTCCAGCACGCGTTCCGGTGGTCGGTAGATGTAGACTGGCTATTCGCATGATTAGGCCTTTCAGCCCCCTGCGAATCTGAGTAAAGCAACTCCATCGCCCGCAGAAAGCTGGGGCCATGCAAAAACGGGAACAGGGGATGCCACACTTTGAAGTATACCATCATAAGTTCCCTCGCCATGTCCAGCGGCGGGGCCTTGCCGAGCACATGAGCGATCTCCGAATCATACTGCCATTGAGAAAGAGAGGCAGACGGCCCAGACACGGACGCAGACCGGGCAGTAGACGGGGACTGATCAGCATGCGACTCATCGCTGCCCACAAGCGTATCTTCCGGCAGAGGCAAAGATATTTTGGACGAATCCAAGTCCTTGGAGAATGCACGTCGAACGGTATTGATGAAAAAGACGCCGCTAGAACTGCCAACGAACTGGCTCTCCTCGTTCGAGTGCGCTGTCAGGGAACCAATCTCTGACGGGCCAGAGGTGAGATCCAGAGAGTCCATCCTGGCAGGAACATGATGCCTCGGCCTGCCCTAGATAAATTTTTCCCTGAATCAAGACGTCAGGACAGGCTGCGATGCTCATCAGTTGATCGACAAGCAAAGGTTGACTACTCTTGCTCTCCAGTTTAGTTTCTTTCTAGCCACCAACGCTTGCTTAGTCATCACACATCTTTCGATCCTTCTACGCCTTTTGCAGGTCTTAGATGATTAAAAATGGCAGAGGATTTCTATTATTGATTGAGCTTACTGATCTGATCTCATGGATTTCCGACGCTTGAGTCGATCAGTGTTGGCGAAAGGCAGTATTGATGGGAATAGCTTCAAAAAGACATGCATTAGTTCGAATTGATCACATTGTTCTATCTTGTCAAAGGTCAAAGCCATATATGCCACCAGAATTTACATATATACAGGTATCAGATGAAAAGATAGTCAAATTTCCATAGCAAGAATAAAGGTCATGCCACGGTTCGTACAATATCATCAATCGCTCTGGCGACATAGCTGACGTTTTTGCTGTTCACTATTGAGACCATCAGTGTCTGGGATTCTGGAAAGGGAGATGGGCACTTACAGCCAGACATGGAGATTCGTCCTGACTTGAGCATGTAGATGTGATGACGTTGTCGAATCGCGAGCACTTGAGTCTCTGTCAACCCGGTGTATGTGAACATACCAATCTAAGATTGTCAGCAAGTAAATTCAAGGATAAATCTCAGGAAGAAATAAGGCCTACCTGTTCCAGAACATGAGTCCATGTGCCTGGTGTACCCAGGCGGATCAACTCGTCATACAATGCCTGGCGCATCTGTTTGATTCGCCCACTCATGTGCTTCAAGTCTTCATACCATTGCTCTCTCAAGCCCTCATCGCTGAGAACGGTCCTTACAATCTCGGATCCGCCTCGAGGAGCCATGGAGTACTCTCCACGAACAAGATGAGAGAGATTCGCCAACACAACCTGCGCCAAAGTTCCCGAGCTCGTACTCGTCACCACATGCAGGGCGCCAGTGCGCTGCCCGTAGAGGCCGAAATTTTTCGAGAAGGACTGCGCAACACAAAACTCCAGTTCGGGCTTGCAGTTCATGAAGTGCCTGATGGCCCATGCATCCTCGTCGAGGCTTCCTGATGCGAACCCCTGGTACGCCAGATCAAAGAACGGCACCAGACCTTTTTGTTGGCAGAGCACGGCGAGTTTACGCCACTGCTCCTTGCTGGGATCAGCGCCGGTGGGGTTATGCGCGCAGGCATGAAGAATCACAACATCGCCCTTCTTCGCCTGCGCGGAGAGCAGCCGCGTCGTGCGTTCATAATCGAAGCATTTACCCTCGTGGTCGTAGTACGGATACGTTCGGATCTCGACGCCGACGAGCTCCCAAATCGTGTAGTGGTTCGCCCAGGTGGGATCTGGAATCCAAACACAAGAAGGCTTGACGCTGCGCGCGAGAAAATCCGCGCCTAATCTGTTCGCGCCTGTCCCCGAGATCGTCTGAACCGAGGCGATGCGGTCTTGCGCTGCGGCCTGCTCGCTATCTGTGGACTTTCCAAAGCCAAAAACCAGGTCGCGTGCTAGAGTAAGAAACTTGAGGTCGCCTTGGATGGTCAAATACTCGTGTCTGGCGACGTTCTTCGCATGGAAGAGCTGCGCCTCGGCCTGTTCCACCACGCTCAGGGGCCATGGATCACCATCTTCTGTGCGGTACACACCAATGCCTAGATTAACCCTGTCGGGGTGACGGTCACTGAGGTATTCGGCTTGAAGTGTGAACGGCTCATCGATAGGCGGTACGGACAGGGAGGAGAATCGAGATGGTGTTGACTTGGCGATGGACTTGACAAAGGTTGCGTCACTTCCAATGGCGGTCTGTCGGAGACCCTCGTCTATCTGGGCTGGAGCCATGGGTGAAGGTAGATCTGCTGCTGTACGGAGACAAAGGCCGTCGTCTATCCTAGTCCCACCTCAGCATAACGACGGTATTTATGCAGCGACGGAGAGCTGATTAGTTCCGTTTGACCCATTGTAGTACGTAGAGATGAACAGATTCCGAAACCGTGGGCCCAGCTGTAAGGTCCAATCCGAATGATGGATAGCGATGATAGCAACGGCTATTGTTGAAGCATCCGATGATGGAAGGGGAAAAGAATGCCGTTTATCGTCGGAGCTTGACGCCGTGGGAAAAAATACCCGCCGCCAACCGCTGGCAGCCGAGAACTTGCATAGCATACCCTACGACAAAGAAATGGAAGACCATGGAATCATTGCTATGGGAAGAAAGAAGGGTGAAATCTCAGCTGCTTTGGTGACACCAAGTAGGTCCATGGCGCAGGTGACGAGAGCTACTGCCAAAGAGCCGTGGTCGAGGGTATGCATTGGTGAACTTTATCCAAAAGGAAAGACGCAAAGTCATACACTCTACTATCTTGATAAAATCAATCATATCATAGGATCAACCGCTCAATTTCTGCGCACACCGCATCGACAACCCCTCGGGTGTTTGCGGTCCCTCCAAGATCTGGAGTCAGGATTCCAGCGGCGCACACCCGTTCAACACATGCCATCAACTGCTTTGCAGCTTCCTTCTCGCCTAGCCAGGAAAGCATCTCTGCGGCCGACCAGAGCGTGGCCACAGGATTGGCTACTCCCTTGCCAGTGATGTCAAATGCGCTTCCATGCACGGGCTCAAACATGGACGGATTCTTCCTTGTTGGGTCCAAATTGCTAGAGGGAGCAACTCCGATTGATCCTGCCAGCGCGGCGGCCAAGTCTGACAGAATATCCATGTGCAGGTTGGTACCGACGATAGTGTCCAAGGACTCGGGTTTGCCAACCATGCGGACCGTCATAGCATCCACCAGCATCTTATCCCAAGTGACATCGGGAAATTCCTTGGCAACCTCTGCGGCCACTTGGTCCCACAAGACCATGCCATTGCGCATCGAGTTGCTTTTAGTGACCACTGTCAAGTGACGACGAGGTCTTGAGCGTGCTGTTTCGAATGCAAATCTCATGATCCTCTCTATTCCCACCCGGGTGAACATGGCAACCTCCGTCGCAGCCTCCCATGGCTGGCCGATGTGACTGCGCCCGCCCTGGCCAGAATATTCACCCTCTGAGTTTTCCCGTACGAGAACCCAGTCGATGCCATTTGTCGCTGTATTCAGGGGACATTTTGTACCAGGGAAGGTGCGTACCGGGCGGATATTGGCGTACAGCTGCAAACGCCCTCGAATTGCTAACAAAAGACCCCAAAGGGAAATGTGGTCGGGAACATCTATATGCCGTCAGTTGCTGGTTGTTTAGCCGAAGTTCATCAGACAGGACAATCATACCTGGAGCGCCTACAGCGCCGAACAGTGCTGCATCAAACTGTCGCAGTGTGTCCAGACAGTCTTCTGGCGCATACCGACCATGTTCCTTGTAGTACTGCGTGCCCCATGGGATGTGAGTGAACTCGATGTCGAACGTTCGTAACGTTTGGCAGAGCTTGTTAACGACCTGGATCGTTGCTTCAACGACTTCTGGCCCAATACCATCTCCTGGAATGGACGCAACACGGTAGGTAGTTGAAACTGTAGATACCATTTTGGTTCTATTTTCTTCCCTGAACAATGTGTTCGTAGCGATGAGTGCTGAGAACCAAGTAGGCCCGCACCATATATATATGCCAGTGCCATGGCTTTCAGGTCAACAGGGCAGCTCTCGGCCGATGCAGATGAGCGGAACGCGCCTGAAATTTCATCCTTGCAGAAACTTTGCTCAGAGGTGATGACATTGACATTATTTCCGGAATAATAGTCAACGGCTGCTGCTACTGCTGTTGTTAGAGAATCGTCGGTTAAACATTCAGCCTTTACGTAATCCCGCTCTTGTCCCGATTAGGGTGAAATAGCATCTTCCATTCAGTCAGATATCAGGTTCATCAATGTTTCACCAAATCAGTAAATTCTATTGTGAGCATGTCCACCAGTAAAAGCAGCAAAGGCTCCAGAGCATCTCGGATTACAGTTGCCTGTAATTCCTGCCGGTCCAGGAAGCAGAAAGTGAGTGACTCTCTTCGTTCAATGATATCATCTTCGCTGACAGAACTGAAGTGCAGCGGCAACAAGTAAGCTGTCATAATCATGAAGCAATCTGCAAATCATTGTAAAGGCATAGCTTGCTAACTGCTAAGACCAATATGTACTCAATGCCTCCAGTCCAATCGGCAGTGTGACTGGCCTGAGCAGCTCAAACGGTTGGTTTTCAGGTCTTACAGGAAGAATGCACAAGTCTCACCAAGCCAGAGGACCCGCAAAAGGCTATATTGAAGCGCTCGAACATCGTCTGCATGAGACGGAGCATGTGCTGTTGAAATTGCTGGCTCAGATGACCGACGAGCAGTTGTCGGTTGCTGTAGAACGCGACCAGTCACTCAGCCAGCCGAGGTATCCACCCTTTCTGCGTTTCGGGAAGAACGATGCGCAATATTGGAGACGATACCCATTGCGCACGGCTCGTGAGCTCCGTGAGTGGCAGCAAGATTGTTTGAACATTGAGAAGCTTAGTTCTGCAGAAACTGGAGTGGATGGCCCTCCTAGGACCTCGCCGTCGAGACGCACCGAATTTTCTGGGCAATCGGAAGTCGAAGCTGACGAAAACAGTTCGGTTGCATATGAAAGTCAGCAAATAGAGCAACTATCTGTACCTAATTTCGAACAGGTTACAAGCACACCCGAAGTTGGTGTGGCACGAGAATCCGCTCCAGTGATCCACGGTAATGGCATGAATCAATGGGTCGCACGGAAGAATGGCTACGACTCACCCAACGAGTTGAAAAGATCACCAACAGCAATGGGCTTTATCTATGTACCATCCTCGTTGGAGCGTACCCAGTTAGAGGATACGCAGCCCTTACACGCCAGTACTCCCCCCGGACCAAGCCTTTGGAGTGAAGCGCCCTCGGTAACTTTCCAGCGACAATTCCTCTGGTAGTTCTTGATCCTTTTCAATTAGAACGTGTGTCGTCAAAAGATGCTACAGGTTAATGCCGGGATAGTATCTGGACACATACTCTACTCTAGGGTGATCCTACGTCTGAGTCCACCTCGATGCGCATATTGAGCGAGCTGGTATTCGATGCACTAGGAATAGAATTCTATGGACAGAGACAAAGCTCGAGTCGAGCTAGAGGTACCACCATGAAAACCAGCTCAAGCGGTGATGTATGGCCAAATCACTAAGTGTTCCCTGCTACACAACAGGCAATGGTCGCACACTGGCCGGCTTGACGATCCGGATCCCCATCCCCGGCCGGACCATGCCTCCCTTCTTGACCGTCCCCATCACCCCAGCCAACCTCTTGACAACCTTCTGACTCCCATTTCGCACCACACAAATATCCTTCAGTCCAGCCCGACACTTGTCCATCCCCGGTCCGGGCTCCCTGACACCCGTCAACACCACAACAGACTCCTCATCGCCACTACCACCGAGGAAATGCAACTCCGTCCCCAGCGGGAGCGTCGACAACTCCACACCTTCTGTAGTGATGTTCTCGCCGATCTCCCCTGCCGAGAGTGGCTTTGCGTTGCGGCCCGCCGCACCAGTGGAAAGTCTGGCCGAGATCTCGCGGAGCGTCTCGACGGGGACGAGATGGACCTGTCGGAGATTCGGGGTGCCCTGTGGCTGGGCTTGATGCTGGGTCGTTTTGCCGGCGTGGCAGTCGCCGTCGACGCCGTGGTTGGGGATGAGAGTGATGGAGGCAACGGGGGTTTTGGCGATGGAGTGGGAGGAGGATTTGGAGACGGAGAGGACGCAGGGGGTGACCAAGGTGGTTCTTGTGGTCAATGTCACTGTGGCAGACATGTTGGTATCACTGCCCTCACTATCAGGAAAGGATTTACTCTGATGCTATGTATGCGGATGCGATGATGCTCCGTGAGAGTACAAGCGGATCACTTCACTGAGTATATGTGTTTCTGGAGACCCCGCCATGCCAACTCATCCTGCATAAGGACCTCGATTAAGCTTCGATGTGCAAGACCAATCTACGAATAGAAATTTTACCCAACCCTCATGGAGCGACTATGCCACCATCATCACCAGTGAACTGTGGACGTCTTGCATATTCCTTCTCTTATCCACCATCCCGGCCTTCCCCTACCCCCGCCTTGAGCAGCCCAACAGTCGACAAAGTCCGCACCTCGACTTCGTGCGCAATATCCGGCTCGCCTCGATGCCAACCGGGTAGAGGTCATGCTCTTGTCGTCGATTTCCTCGGCGTATCGATCGATTATCGGGGTGATGGTTTTGTGTTGTTTGCGCCAAGGGACGTAGAAGCCGAATAGGGTTGGTGCTGGGTGGAGATTCTAATTGTGAAGTCGGAAGGCTGGGGGTCAGTAGCTGAGGGAGGGAACGGGAGAGGAATGGAGGGCGTACAGCATTTGTACGAGAGTTTAGTTTACAGGTATGAGTCTGGATGTGGGCTTGATTCTTGTGGTGCTTGAAGAGGAGAGTTGATGATGCTGATGATGCAACGTTGAGATGATGATGAACCTAGATACAGGTGCTAGAACTATAGGCTAGTGCATACTGATATTGACCCTGTTGATGAGCAGATCAGTTTCTGCCAGTTGCAACATGAACCTCAATGCGTCCGGTCCCCGTATTCTGCGTCTTGATGTACGCCAAATCCAGCACCCCATCCTTATTGAAATCGATCATCTGCCAGAACCCGTTGTCCTCGGGGTAGAACGTGGTGCCCACCTCCTGGACACGAGTCTGATATGTCGACGCCCCAGACGCAACATGTACCTCCACACGGCCCGTCCCCGTGTTCCTTGTCTTGATATACACAAGGTCTAGCTTCCCATCCCCGTCAAAATCAATCATCTGCCACACACCGTTATCCTCAGGGTAGAAGGTCGTGCCGACTTCCTGGACCCGAGTCTGGTAGTTCGATGTGCCAGAGGCGACATGCACCTCCACCCGTCCGGTACCCGTATTCCGAGTCTTGATGTAGATGAGATCGAGGATGCCATCGCCATCAAAGTCGGCCATCTGCCAGGTCCCATTGTCCTCAGGCAAGAAAGTCGTTCCGACTTCCTTGATGCGGGTCTGGAAGTTGGACGCCGCCGAGGCAATGTGCACTTCCACACGACCGGTGCCTGTGTTCCGGGTCTTGATGTAGACGAGGTCGTCACGGCCATCACGGTCGGCGTCAATCAGCTGCCAGACGCCATTGTCTTCGGGCCAGAAAGTCGTGCCAACCTCCAGCGTGCGGGTCTGGTAGTTGGAGGCCCTGGAGGCGAGGTGCACTTCCACCTTGCCGGTGCCGGTGTTGCTGGTTTTGATGTAGCCCAGGTCTGGCCCGGGTTTGTTCGCAAAGGAGGGAGTCAAGGACCAGGGGCCGTAGGGGTCTGGGGAGCCAAAGGTGGTCCCGGTCTCGAGGATGCGGGTTTGGTATGGGGCTGCTGTGGTCGAGGTAGCCAGCAGCGGAAGGACCAGATGCCAGATGGCTTTTAACGAAAGGGGTTTGGTCTGCATGACGAAGGTAATCTGTTGCTGTGCTGGTGATCTGTGCTGTAGTGATTTGATCAGAGTCATAATCGCGAGGGATCGGGCCTTACTTATAGGTGGTTTATTGCACAGGACGGAGGCATTCGGCAATTGGGATGTTTGCTTCAGCTGCTGTTGAGCTGCCTTGAGCAAGGATATTTTGATCCCAGCCGTGGCTGAGACATAGGTATGGTCTGGACATTGCGTTCCCGCGAGATTGCTCTGCTGCTCCGATGGCTACCTGGGCTCGAAGTGAGGTTGCTGCGAAGAGGCAACTGGAAGGCGTCATGCCAGAGCGAGGAGGCTGGCTGAGTTCTCGAGATTGATGCTGGTGAATGTCAATCGCTTCAGGTTGCCAGTTTAAGATGCATGGTTCTGCACGTGTGATGAGGAACGACTCCGACGTGGTACTGCAGAAGTCATGCCATGTCCATGAAGAAGCAGAAGCAGAGATGTACGGTACTTTTGGGATGTAACATTGGGACAGGGGTTGGTTCATATTCAGCTGAATCGACATTCACTCTTACCCCATAATCGGCCGATGATGATGCATTTACCTAATTTGAACTTGTCAGCATCTTGACGGTAATCCGAGAGTTTCGCACTTCGCAGTCGACTTTGAAGTGTTGCTCATGGCTCACAGGACCTGAGCCACAGTTGCACGAACACGACCTGCGGAGTGACAGTGCACATCCATCCCAACTTCTCCCTCTTCTGAAATTGATTCCGTCAGAAGTGATAGGATACGGAAGATTAGGCTGAAAACTACGGAGTAGGTACCTTACTCTTGATGCTAACTTCCCCTCAGTCCTGTCGAATCGCCAATACTTGTCATCGTCGCATTGAGCTAAGCCTTTAGGGACAATGAACTCTCGAGGCTGATTGATCAATAGCATTCTATCATGAGTGCACGCTCCGCAGAACTACAAGAATATATGTAATGACCAATAAAAGTTCAAATTCAACTTTCACTATCAACCCAACTATGGAAATCCTTCCAGCAAGTACGTTTTGCATTAGGCCCACAGAGAGGCACCTTGCAGGCTTTGCAATCCCAGTTGGTAAGGTTAGCCTGCAATATCGGTTGACAGATGGTACCTCGCTGCCGCATATAATTGATATGGAGACACCAAGTACACCTTGTCCGTAATTTTTCTAGTCTTCGCTCCTTCACATGCTCAAGAGAGCTATCCAATCGTATCTGACTATCTGGGAGCTTGATACGGGAAGCCTTGCGCTTAGGCTGGTATGTTGTCACTATTCGATACCGGAATAAAGCCTGGAAAAGCTCCTGTCGGAATTGAAGCTGCGTAGATTTCGGTCGTTTTGAGAGCTGTGCATCTATACAGCTAATTCGAAAGGCATTGAGCACAGCTGCATCAATAACCCATAAGAAAAGTGGCCACCAAGTACGTGAAGCTCGACGATGAGTTTCAGAGCTTGCACGAAGCTGATTTGCGCTATCAACATATAGCTTATAGCCTTGACTGACCGGCTTATTAGGCCTTTTGTGCGTGTTATGTGATCGTTCAAAGCATCGTACCATTAACTCATCAATTGAGATGTTCGTTGAGGGCTGGTGATATCTCTCAGAGGCAGATCGGAATTCTGAAATCAGTGGCTCAAGCTTTCGCCACAGATGTTCGATATCGTATTCAGCTTCCTCGGACTCATCTCGAGGCTCCTCAGGCGTAGGCGGTGATATATGTAAGTATCGCTTGAGCTGCTGGAATCGTACAAGACCCATATATTTACGTATTGGATGCTGAGGGCCTAAGCCTGCAGTTTTCTCAGTGCGCCAATACCCCTCAATAGCTGGTTCCTTAAAGGCGCCCATATAGATGAGTACCCCAACAAAAACCCTTATCTCATTCGCATCCGTACGGGTCCAAGGTCGAACCTGGTCGGTAACCCTAAGCGAGGCGCGCTGGATATCGGCGTAGGTGTTGGTGTTTCTTGCAATGGTATCCCAAATTCCATCAGTAAAGAAGAGGTTAAAGAGGTCAAGTGGCTTTCGAGCATCAACACTACTGGGAAGCAGTAGTACTGGGCCTTGAGGCTCACTCATCTTGATTGGGTCAAATTTGACAGTTTTGATATCAGGAATCAAGCTGAGAAGCTTCTCTGCTTTCTCCTTACGCGTCAACTTCGGCTTCTTAGCAGGTGGTCGGCTTTGACAGCGTTAGATGGCTTATTATCCACCTTCTTTGGGCTGGATAGTCGTGTCTCTGCCGCGGTAGGGAGGTGATAATGATATCCATGGTTGGCATGCTAGGGGTGGATACACTAGCAATTTTCTGCCGATCTTATTACCCGACTGGGCAAGCGGTTTGCTTTTGACCAATTAAATCAGGTGAATGGAAAACTACGCTAAATGATACATGCTTGGCGCCAGGTTAAGGGATAACAGCTTCAGCTTCTTAAAGTATCTTCCATCACAGGAGCTGTTCCTTCTCCATATCCTTATTGAAGAAGGATATAATATATTCCTCACTACTATCTTGCTTGTCTGACATGGAGAATCTCAAGCTGCCTTCGTCGTGATTCCTCCAGATTTGGGCGATAAATGAAGATGCCTGATGATAATTGAGCAGCTGCATGACAAACAATTAGAGCACTAATATTCCTTAATACAAGTGGTTCTTGGAGAGTATCTCCCTGATAGCATGGACATCTTGGAGACTGCTCCTAGGATCTACACCACTGGTCGATCCTGGCGGCTTCCCGAAACATAATGCAAAAACTGTCTCGGATAGCTTCATGTCTTCCTGTTTGAGCAATGGAAACTCGCAGAGACCCCGGTCGACATTACAGGTCATCCGTTCGGATGCGCAAATCTCTTTCCTTCTCTACATATCCAGATCTATATGGGATAAATTGTGGACATAAATAAGCCCGAGAAGCTCGTCGAAATGGGCATTCATCTGGAATTCAATGAAACATCATCTGTGGTGAATTCTTCTTCATCTGTTTCTCTCTGAATCATCAATTCTATTCCTTCACCGTAATGACTCTTTCTCTTTTTCCTAAGAGATTCATTCACAACCGAACCTTTCAGGAAATTGACTCTATTCACTATCTGATGCCATTCACTATGATGATTATATTGTCTTTGCTCTTCCCGGCATTATTTTACTTCTCCTGTCTTTTATCTGCATTGGCTCTTGTTGACTTTACAATGGTATCTCTTAAGTTGACATGTTTGACTTTGTCTTGGATATATATTCAAGCATAGCCATGGTTATCTCGGCTCCGTCTGCCTCGACGATCTGACTGAAAATCACTTTGCTCGCGACGTGCAGCAATCCCAGGCTGATTGTAAGTCGACCCTTGACTTCCTACCCTGCGAGTCTCAAGAATGCTCGCACTGACAGTTCTGCCATCAAGGGCTTCCATAAAGAGAAACTGGAAGTGGGATAGAAGACAATGTCCTTCCCAGGTTGAAGTGTAAGAGGCTCTTACCTGGCCGGCTGAAGCATTAACAAATATGGCTTTAATAAAGATACTGACGCCTGATAGTCGCTTTCTGGCACATGTCTTCTCTGTCAGACAGGTCCCAGCTTCCGGGCCAGGATTCCACACAACGCACACGGCGTCCGAGACATTTACCGGCGGGGCTTTGCGGTCTAGAGACACTTTGGCAACGCTTGCTCTTGTCGAAGTTGAAAGGAGGATGCGCTCAAAGAGGACAGATGCCATCATTATGCAGGAGGCATGTGAGCTGGTGGGATGCTTGAAGGAATCCTCCCATCGCCTCCCCTCTTTCAACAACCAGTAAGCTATAGAGACAGTCTTGCCAAACTTTGAGAGCCTGTATTGATACACTTTTGTCAATCATAGCCTTCTTCTGATCTCCCAGGATCGGCATGAAAGCTTCAAGTCTACAAAGACTATCTTGTCGGCACTCCAAAGGCTATCAACGCAGAAAGGCACACGAATGACCAATTGAGGTGAACCTCTGGCAGTCTACATGCTAGCAATGCTCCAAGCAGAATTCACTCAGTATTTCAGCATTTCATCAAAAGCACTACGAGCGAATGATTATTCAGATAACTTCCTCGAGGACAACACTGCCCCGTCTCCCATGGATACTGGGCATTTATGCAGCTCCAAAACACCAGTTAGCAGAGAAGAAGTATCCAGTTGATCTGTCGCTCAGTAATGTGGGTGGGTGGGCGAGTGAGTTCGCGACGCCGCTGTTTGCTTATTGTTAACATTATCGCGAAGCATCATCACAGTTCTCGTTATTTCTTCTAAACAAAGTGTCTTCGCGATGGCTCCCTCCCTCGAAATCGAAGCTCGACCAGGACGCCCGCTTCTGGCTAGAGAAATCTGAAGGGGACGTGAAGATCTCCCTAACAGTATTGGTGAATCGATGAATCCCCGAGATTGTGCTGGAAAGACGGAAGATCAGTGACGCACAGCCCGCAATAACACAGAAGGTCATAGTCTGGCGGCAAGAACGATACCTTGTTCGATAACGAGCCCCTCGTGATTGAGTTTGAAAATATCTTCTTGCGAAAAGCAGAAATCCCAGGGAAATCGACATTGAGTTTAGTCAGGCTAATCTGCGGCGTCTCGCTGAAAGCATTGGCTCAAGCAGGGGTTCGGGGAGTAGTGTCTGTTGCTGCGCAGTGATTGCTCGGCATGACTGTGTGCATTTTTACTAGGAGTCAAGAGCCAAGAGCACATAAGTGTCATGATGCTCCTACCAAATTCAATCAGAGATGTCAGTATCTCTACTTGACAAAGCCATGTGCGAAGGGTCGCGCTTACCCAATGGATGTATACGGGATGTTTATCTGACCTGGAATTCTGGAAGCCTTTGAGATATCACTACTATCAAACCTCTTCCGCTACGTGTGTTTTACAATGAAGATAGAGAAGTTTTTCTCTACCCAAGCTGCCCGATTCCTCGAGTTTTTCTGGAAACCAGGCACGGATAACGTCCAAGGCATCAGCCAACCACTGGCCCAGGAAACGGTCAAGGGAACACTCCAAGAATTGAAAGATATTTACCCTGAGCTAAGAGAAGCAGCCAAGGCTGAAGTGAAGTATAGATTTTACCGTTCGTGGGGCGTGTGCTTTGCCAACATAGTAATAGGCAAAGACCGCATTCTACGGACAAGGCCGACATGATTATTAGAGCATGGTGTTGCGGTCCCGGCCCCCGGCCCTGCACCCGCCATCGCGGTCGTTGTGCCGCCCCGCAACTGCGCCCGGCCCAAACAAGGAGAGGTTCTTCATCCGGGTCACCGAGATCATTAGAACCTTCTTCTCTATTGTCACAGAGGCGGGTGACATCCCCGAGTCCGCCACCTTGTTCAGAGCCCTGCAACAATACGATCAAGATGAGCTATCGCAGATCGTGACTTCTCTCTTTCCTGAACAAGTTCAAGTTCTCCTTGGTGGGACAGAACCCAAGACCGCGCGGCAGGGGGCAAATGTTGACAACATTTGGTCCACTCCGGCGGCAGTGGTAAGTGGTTCTCACCCTCTCGTGACCGAGTTACGGCTAACGCCTTCGCAGGGAAACATCATCACCGGGCCACCTCTGCCTCTGGTGAGCACTCCGTATGCTCAATGGGATGCTCCTGCTCCCGGACGCTTGGTTCCTCGCAGGCGTGTGCAAACCCTGCGGTGGTGCCAGGACTCCCGCCCTGGACAGGGCAGCAATCCCTGTCTCGCCGCGAGCTAGCATGGGTCGCAAGGCCTGTGCTTCGCTCGGTTGAGTGGTGTGGCTTCGGCTCCCCTCAACAGTTGGCCATCCGTGCCCAGCTCCGCGAGGCCATCCTCGTGACTAGAGCTGCGACACAAGACAATGAATGCTCTCAGTACTTGCACACATTTGCCAACTCCAACGTGCTTTATATTGACTTCGTGTCTTATTGGGAATTCGAGAAATATCCCTAGGAAGAGGGTTGCATTAGCGGCGGAAGGGATCGCCCCAGCGAAACACCAATGATAGTGTGAACTTTAATTGAAAACGCTAACTGAAGTTGTAGACTGCCGGGAATCCAATTAGTGCAAGATGAAGATCTTAACACTAAATGTCAAAGGTCTGGGAGACCTTGACAAAGCCATCAGGGTGATTCACTTTTTACGGGATCATAGGGTGGATGTGGCATTTCTATGTGAACCCCACCTGACTAATGAGAGAACCAGGGCACTTAGAGAACGGTTTCCTGACATAGGGATCTTCTCTAATGCGCCCTTCACCAATTCAGCAGGCGTAGCTTGGATAATTCTAGACCCGAAGAAGATACCCCTAGACAAAGTCAAGATCCTTGGATCTGATGATATGGGTAGGCTCATGGGCATGAAATGCTATGCAGAAGGAGCCACTAAAGCAACCAAATTCTTAGGAATCTATGCCCCAAACCAAGAGACCCCTCAGGTCGAATTTTGCAACCAGGTGGCTGACCACCTGGAGTCTGGGTGGGGAAGGAAGATCCAAATCATGTTAGGCGACTTCAACGCAGTTGAGTCAGCACTGGACAGGAACCCACCTAGGATTGAAGACCAAAGGGTGCGGGAGGCCCTAAAGAGGGTGAGAGATGCAAGGAGACTAGTGGATGGATGGCGGGAATTCCATATTGACCGGAGGGAGTCAATGCTGAGCATACATGGGCTGTTCTTTCAAAAGTTTTCCTTCATTTTCTGATAAGACGGCAGCCCCGTACTACGAACTTTATGATGCAAATCTGATCACAAGCAACGTCCAGCAGGTCGACAAATACCGCAACTGGCCGTTTGATTTCGGCCCACGAGGAGAGATTAGGCCAGGGAGGACTCCACCTCCTCCGATCAAAGCACCAACAGACGAAGTAAGTAAAATCTAACCTAGGTTAGATTTTTATCTACTGACATATATATACAGGACTGTCTTTGGGCGGTGGATGTGTATGCAAGCGATGATTTTGACACAGAGATGTTCATGGCTTTGCGCTCTAACCGGCGTGAAGTAAACAATCCAGATTCTGACGGAGTATTCCTGGTTAGAATGCTTGAGGTCTTTGAGGGCAAGCCTCTTGCGGAGCAGAAAAAACTTCTCACAAATTCTCACCTGAAAGAATGGTTAGCCCAAATGCTTGGGATTGACCTATACTGGGTCAATCGAATTCTCCCCATCCTTAAGCATTCTGAGTTCAAGAAACGTTTTCAACGGTGCATATCAAAAGGGGCTCAAAGCTGTACTACCCCATCTTTGGGGAATATTACGTTCTTTGTGGAACACCATGCGCGCCTATCAAACAGTGGTTAGTAGGAACTTGGACAGATGGGATCTGGAGGAACAAGGACAGATTATGTTTATCCTTCGGGCAGGGAATCAAAACTGAAGTACGACAGGTGCTTCCCTTCTTCCAAGAGGAAATTGATCGCCTGAAAATGGCAAAGGAATTCCACCTTAAACAGATTGACATACATATACAAGCAAGGGACCAAAGATGGGAGATAGCCTTGCTTTCGGAAGTCTGCGACAAGGAAACAAAGCGAACTGGGAGGCCGCGGAAGCTCGATGTCCTCATCAGTACCTCTTCAGTTGCCTGGAAGACACCGCATCAGCAATCACCACTCCCAGCAGCGCAGTCTACGATTCTGGAGTCATCGGATATCACATCCGGACTGCCAGACAATTACATTACTCATCCCTTCACCAGCCTTAAAAGACTCAAAATCGACGCGCAGAGAGTCCTCGAGCGACTAAACCAGAACAGCGATGCCGGTAATCAGTATAACCTTGTGCTCAATCTCCCACGGGCAATCCGAACTCAACTGGGTGGGGATAAGAATGCCTTGGAGGGAATTACTTTTCGGTTGATGTTCGAAGCGACCACTGCCCTGATCAAGATTGTCCCGTCCGTGCCTCATGAAACTGCAACTAAATGACTCGCTCACGACATACACCTTTCATGGACCCTAAAAGTTTTGACCAGGGACACAGCTCGGCTGGTGTCGAAAAAAGGTCCGCTGATGTCTGGTTGCTCTCTACGCCTTCTCTACAACTACTCTTATCAAATATCTCTTGGATCCAGACTAAGCAGTCCCCACAGCCATATTCTCTTAATATTATTATACCACCACCTACCACCAGCACTTCCTCCGCATACCCAAAGCCTCTAAGGCTTCGAAGTCATTCAGTGTTATTTGACTATTACTCTATTCCCTGTCAACTGAAGAAGTCATCATTAATTCAGCAGGTAAGATCTCCAGAGTTCAGACATTTCCTACTCCTTATATCTTATCTTTAATGTTTAACATTTGGTTCTCTACCTCATATGTTTGATTCCCTGTTAAAGTTTATATACCTTATCTCTTTTCCTAACTATTAGACTAACAAAAATTAAAATAGAAGAGATGTCTACTGCGTCTACTTGTCGCAACTGTGGGGCCACATTCCCCTACTGGTCCTTGTCTACCTCGTGGTTGACAAGCCGGATCAAGATGGGGACGAAGACTACGAGCTTAAAGGGATGATCAAATACCATGCGGGTGCAACATATCAGTGCCTTCTTGCACAGGTTGGGCCAGCCTGCCGGTCGACCTGGGGCCAAGTCCCGACTCATATTACTTGGACCGAGGCTATTATAGGCAATAATCAATGGGCTGTCAACATGGATGAACTGGTGTCTATCCCCAGCGAAGGGCTTGCACCTCAACATGGTGCTGGGGTCTAGTAATCTTCTTAGTAAATACCCCTTTCCATCCTCATTCTCCTTCTTTCTTCCTTCTTCACCTCCTCATCACTTCCGTCGCCTCCCAATCTTCGAACTTAGAATAGAGCCTGCTGAGCTGAGCCCCCCGCACAATCAACCTTTGGTTTTTTCTGAAGTGATTCGAAAGAAGCTAGCACTTGGGTGTCTCCCTATCACTCTCCACCTTGCAGGGTAACCAGATATCTCAAGTTCACAATGACAGATACGATTCGCCCTGATAGTATCGCGGATTTCAATACAGTGGGCCGTACGACAGGAACAACAGTGGACCTGGCAGGGATGGAATTCTTGATACACTGCCCCCCAGACCTCCCTCCAAGAAGCCGCCTCATTTCAGTTTGTGGGATTACAGATCCAGACGATGATGCCAGTCCTCAGAAGGATGGCTGGTTCATATCGCAGCGATAGTTTCAGAACATAGAGGTCGGTCTCGATCACTATCAGTGACTGGGCCTTTGACCCGCAATTCATCACCAGCATTAAGTGAGGTTTCAGTTGAGAGTACCTCACCAATGGAATCTAAAAAAGCGAGATGATCTGAGCTATGATAAGACGGCCAAATATGCACATAGGACTCCACTATGTTGATCAGGCAAGGGAATATGCCGTTCGAAATAACTCAAATGCCCTGGCTTGGGAGAGTAAGCATTGGTAAGTTTTCTTCCGCTGTCGTGGATCAAAAATTCCCTTACCATCCAGCAAGTATTGCTTGTGGCAATCAGAAATCCTCATATCACTATCATTTTTCCTCAACTCCATTCCACTTATATTGAATTCCTCCCTTAAGATCATCCTTATTCTATCAAAAAGCATGTACTGATGCCTATGTACTTAGCTTCTTCAAGAATTTTGTCCGCAGGATGAATCATCGCGATGTAGAGAAGGTAATCCTACTTGAGGGCACAAATCAACCAGTCCCACGGCCTCCATCAAGAAGGGATCCAATTCTTGAATGGCTTGCGACCGGTTTGGAGCTGTTGGGCAGGCTATCCCGGGGAGATCCCAGAAGATATTGGTGAGTATCTTGATGATGATGGACCCGCAGGTAAGTATCCCAGCCGTGAAATGATGGCAGAAACTCACAGCTAACCGTCACTGAAGCTTCGTTCAGCTTATAGGTCTGATCAAAAGTCTCTTTTTGGTCGGCGGCGATGATAATATTGTTGGCGCATTGACGACCCTGCGTTTACCATCTAAGACGAAGTCCAGTTGGTTCCCCTCGGGGCAAAAGTTGGATATCTCGTGGATATGTAAGGAGTACATCGTCCGGACACCTTTTCAGCCCACTGGTATTAGATTTCGATATCTCCACACCCGGTAGTCATATGTGCCAGTTCATAAATAAGAGTGATATGTATGGGGTGTCTTATGAAATGTGCACTCATAGTTCACAGGCATCTAGTAATTAGATGGCAACCGTGGTAGAGTCCTGTGATGACTTCGCATTATTGACTGATTTCCAAACCCTTGCCTCTTAATATAACTCATAAACTGACGGCAGGACAGGTGGAAGAGCATGATGAATGGGATAGATATCTCCATTCCGTTGTCTTTGGAGAATACTATATCTTTTGCGGCACACCTTGCGCCCTATTGAAACAGTGCTAGTCATCCTCGTGTATCCGGTCATTCTGTATTGCACCATTGTTCAGTTCGCAGGCTGATTTCGGCACACTCTCATGTATCGTGATCTCTTCACACTTGATCACCGTTGATACTACGCATGCACTAGAGACGAGACAAGTATCCAGGTAACATTCAACTCTATGGATATAAAATTCTAGATTACAGGTAATGGAATCATGCATGCATCATTTAAAAAGTTCCCAGGTTCTCAGCGACCTTGAAAGGAGCGGCAGTCTTGCTGCGGATCTCCTCGACGGTCACGCCCTCAGCGGTCTCGGCCAGGGTCAGACCTTCGGTGGGGCTGACATCGAAGACGGCGAGATCGGTGATGATCTTCCAGACACAGCGGGGACCGGTGAGAGGGAAGGTGCACTCGGGCAGGATCTTGGGGTTGCCCTTCTTATCGGTGTGTTCCATGGTGACAACCACCTTGGTCTTCTCGGGGTTGGCGACGAGGTCCATGGCGCCACCGACACCCTTGACCTTACCGGGGAGCATGAAGTTGGCCAGGTCACCGTACTGGCTGACCTGCAGGGCGCCGAGCATGGTGAGATCGATGCGGCCAGCGCGGATCATACCGAAACTCTCGTGGGAGCCGAAGACGGAGGCGCCGGAGCTCAGGGTGACGGTTTCCTTGCCCGGGTTGATCAGATCGGGATCCTCCTCGCCGGGCTTGGGGTAGGGGCCCAGGCCCAGGATACCGTTTTCGGCCTGGAGGACGACTTCGACGCCCTCGGGGAGGTAGGCGGGGGCGATCAGGGGGATACCGATACCGAGGTTGACGTACATGCCGTCCTTCAATTCCTTGGCGGCACGCTTGACGATACGTTCGCGACGAGCGGTGGCCTCGCCGGATCCTGGGGCAGTCAGCAGGGAGCTGTAGAATCAGATGGTACAAGAATGCATACCAGCCTGGAGCATCTCGCTAGGATCCTTGGCGAAGGTGAGCTTCTCGATCATGGTCTTTTCCGTGCTCTGGATAACCTTGTTGACATAGATGCCTTGCAGGTGGATTTCCTCGGGAGACAGCTCGCCAACCTCGACAATGTGGTCAGCCTCGACGATAGTGTACTTGGCGTTCTTAGCCATGGCCTCGTTGAAGTTGTTCATGGCCTTGCGGAACTGGCAGTTACCGAGCTTGTCGGCCTTGTGGACACGGATCAAAGCGTAGTCGCCGAAAATCGATTCTTCCAGGAGGTAGTTCTTGCCGTTGAATTGCCGGACTTCCTTGGGTTTCGAGTATTCCTTGACAGTACCATCTTTGTTGTAACGTACGGGGAGTTCACCAGTTTGGACTGCTATGGTCAGTTACGTCCTTGGGACCCGCGACACAGAACGAAACCTACCGATTGTTCCATAAGCCGCAGGAGTGTAGAAAGCAGGGACACCAGCTGCACCAGCTGCACACTTTTCAGCAATAGTGCCTTGAGGGGTGAGTTCCAGAGCGAGGTCGCCGTTCAGGTACATCTTTTCGAAGACCTTGTTTTCACCGATGAACGAAGCAATCATTTTGGTAATCTGGCCGGACTCGAGGAGTTGGCCTGAGAACGTCAGTACCATTGTTTTCCTAACCAACTGCTTCACCTGATAGCAATGACATACCCAAACCAGCACCAGGCATTCCAGCATTGTTGGAGACCACAGTCAAATCCTTGATATCGGGGCGATCACGCACAGCATTGATCAGGGTATTGGCGACACCGGAGAAACCAAAACCACCACACAGCACAGTAGAAGCACCCTTCATGTCCTTGATGGCTTCCTGAGCCGACGCGCATACTTTATCGATGGCTCTCTTGTTGGCGGAGACAGAGAAATTCCGCCGCCCCAGGATGGGGCGGAACACCGCAGGAAGAGGTCGCGACATGGTCGGACCTGGATCAGTTGCTCAATTGAATGAGTCAAAACTGAAGAAAGAAGAGCGTGAAGAAGAAGGAAGGGAAGGGAGAGGAAAAGAGAAAAGACGGGGAAGAAAGAAGCCGACGACGAAAAAGAAACGCCGCCGGCTCTGGGGCAGCTGGGGAAGCTGATCGGTATACTCTATAGGCATATATCATTTGAGAATTATGGAGCTTCCATTGTGAGAAGAGACGTAGAGAGTAAAAGCATCGGCTAGCAGTTGACGCCAGACCTGCCGACAAAGCGATTATCCGCCTGTTAGTACTAGTAACAAAGGGAGGTACCGGTACCTACGTTGTACCCGTACTGTTTTGCCGCCTTCCGAAGCCGGTCCCACCCCGATAGTACACTGCTGAAAACGGTAATTTACAGTATCAATGGAGTATGTGGGAAAGCGTTCATCCAATCTGCGGTGTGACTGGTGTTCTTCAACTGGAGCTATAGAGATGATCATTTTCTCTTGAACTCTCACAGATGCAAATGAGTTCTAAGCAAAGATTCCTATCAGAAAGAGAAGAGTGGTTGTTTCAGTTACACTTCTTTTGCCTATTGTATAGGATCCGTAATGAGCCTGTAATGTCTCCAGGTTCCCTTCCGACTCGGGATCCGCATCGGCAAAGAACCCTGACGTCTCGGCTGGCGGGGTTTTGTCGGCCTGAGGCTCTCAGGCTGCAATTGTACTACATCTGCTTTCCTAAACGAGAGAGAGAAACCCCGGAATGAGGAAATGCGAGTCATCTCCAAATGTCGAGAGAAATCGATCTGAGTCGGAGAAGCTGTGAATGTAGTAGCTCATGAGCAGGATCCACCCATATTGGTCCTATCATGGTCGTTGAGCGTCAATCGAACTATCATCAGTATCGAGAACTCGAAATAACACAGATGGCCAGTCCCTCCGAGACTACAACGCCCGAATCCCCGTAGCGCGTCTGATATCGGTTTGATCAAGCGACTTTCTGAATTTCCATCAATAGATAGCCGAGCAGTCCGTGTCAGATCCTCCACATAAAGATCTCGCGTGGGGCAAGCCTTGGGCAACTTGTTGATGCCCCACTGTCGTACATAGTATAAGTGACACATGGACATAGCTCTAGTTCGTTCGATCCTTCTCTTCAAGAAGATTCAAAAGGACATTGGTCCCATATAATTGAAGAAAGCGGCAGCGGGTTGCTCATGAAATCATCCATCAGTGCAACCATTTCTCATCATTGGCAGTTTTCGCTGCGAGGCCATGGGCTACGCATCACAGATTTTTCATTGTTCAGGAACATGATAGTTCACATTCGGTAGAATCATGTTGAGTCATTGACGGTAGGGGCCTTCGTCAGCTTTGTCTTGATGCCGAGACTCATGTTGCTTTCCATGCCACTAAGGCAATGGTCCCTTCACGCCTAAAGAAGCAAGCATATCAACTCGCACTAGGGCACTGCAAAAGGAGACATCATGTATGGTCCCAGGACCTCATGGATGGAGCGATCGTCTGAAGCCTACTAACAAAGGACCTTGTTGATTGCCATAATTTGAGAGATTCAAAAGTCCACAATTCCACCTTCCTTCGGTCAGCACATGCGCATCTCATCAGCAACTGATATGAAAACAGTATGATTATCGTTGGTGAAAGTCAGGTTGATGGCTCGGGAACTGAAGTCTTACCAACTGCCGGTCAACAAGCGACCCCCGCTCGCATCTCGCAAGTCGCAATTGACTGGAATTTTCCGGAATGTCAAATCATTAAAACAGATGGGAACGTAATTGTTATGCTCTTGACATTGAGTCAGACTCACTCGGTACAACTAACTAATTCGATGGTTAGTTGTGGCCATTGCGTGTTCCAGGTTGATACGATCGTATGAGGAGAAGATACCCCATGGGGCACGAGTCCGCCAACAAACAGTCTTGTTCGCATTCGGCATGTTGTCCGAGACGAAACAACACCAACAACAACAACAACAACTACTACTACTACTACTACTACTACTACTCACATCACTCATCAGTGGGGGGAAGAATATGATAGCAATTGATGAATGTCGTCCCCTGACTGAGGGAGAATCGAGAATACATACAGTAACTGCAGCTACATTACCAGATTCAATACCACGAGGATCGACTAAACCGTATCGGACATAACGTGACCAGACGAGCCACAAATCACAGTCGAATCCCCCTCACCGTCGGCCATTAACTAAGGCAGATCACTGACTGGCCAAACTTTGGAGATGATTTGGACTCGGAAAGTTTCCTGCTTCCATCTCCTGCACTTCCCTTCATCATCAGTCTTCCTCTCTTCTTGTGGGACTCGAGCTTTCGATGATGTAGCATGACCCCTAAACTCAAGTCACCCATCTTTATCCCCTCGCGTCCCGGCGAGAGCCATCATGGTTCTGAAAAAGTGTAACATCTGTGACCGTCGGTTCAAGAAGACGGAACATTTCAAGCGTCACGAACGGTCTCGTCAGTAGATCTATCATAATCGAGACAATCTATTCTAATCTATCTGTGGACAGACACCAAGGAAAAGCCTTACGAATGTAATATCTGCCACAAACGATTCTCTCGAAGGTGGGTTATGCACGTGTCAGATCTGCGCTTTGCATTGCGCGCAATCTGTGTAGTACTTCATCAGAAAGTTGGAGATGCTAAGAACTCCTCTACAGTGATGTCTTGAGTCGCCACGCAAAAGGCCACAATGGCGCGTCGTCGAGCGCAACCAACGGGGTAGTGAAGAGTGACCATCATACTTCGCCTACTCAAGCTTACGACCAACAGCACTCCCTTGTCAACGGCAATGGCCAATTCATCCCGAACGTCAACCCGGCAGACGCGCAGCAGGCACAAATCGTGCCATTTATACCACGCGAAATCTCCCTTGCAACACCGGCTGGACTTCCGTCATCGTCCCTTGATTGCCTGGCGGATATATCTGCTCACCAAGCTCGGACTCAACCCCAGCTCAACATCATGGGGATGGATCACCAACAGGCCTACCTCGGGTGGGGTGATGTCACAGCAACCGAGCCGTCCCCGTACAGAGCGGCGGTATTCGACCCGATGCCGAATGACATGCTTCAATTTTGGCTGGAACCCCGGGGCGACTCCGCCTCACATCCTAGCCCAGTAGACCTCATGCGCGACCCCAGTGTTGGCCTCGTGGATGATCAGAATCCAGCATCGCCTGGAGCGCGGCAGAATAGTCATTCGGTCGAAAGCGCAAGCATCCAATCTCCGAGCAACATTCCCAGTGAGAGGTTTGCCAGAGTACAGCGGTACTGGCTCACACCAACAAACAGCACCGGGCGCCTGATGAACACGTTGTGGCGGGATGTAGCCACCTGTTCCCTGGACAATATCCTCGGGGTGTATTCGGGGCAACTCTTCAATGGCCCGTCTGGGCTATCAGGAGGATTGAGGCACGGGCTAGATGAGGAATGCAGGCAGAACCTTCAGGCAACCTTTGGCCATGCTCGACTCAGCACGTCAAAGGATGCTTCGATTGCTCCAGGCATGTCTGAGGCGCCTTTCGGCTCTCCGCAAGCTTTTCCTCCAGCTGAAATCCTGGACATGGCACTTGACTTGTACTTTCGCAATTTTCACCCGCTAATACCGTTCATTCATATCCCTACATTCTCTGCAAAGAAGACTCGTTCACCAGTGCTCTATGTCATGTGTATGATTGGTATGATCATTCTGGGTACGAAAGGAACGACGGCGTTTGTCTCTAAGAATTTCAACGTAAGTCTAAATGCTGGTCGTCAAGTGATATTGCTGACTTTTTGTGTTTTGCTAGCTGGTCCTTGAGAAGATCACCGGAGAATTGGCAAAATGCGCAGTAGGAAGTGAGAACTCTGTCGGTACCGTGTCTACCTTTGCCGCGGCCTTTCTTTTCCTCAATTTGGCTGCAATGACCGGGGTAAAGTTTCCACTAATGGGCCAGTTGAATCGTGCTGATCCATCCACAGGAAAAGGAACACATTGCTAAAAGCCAAATGCTGTATATCAACCTCATGACTGTAGGTCTAATCCTCACCTGTCTCATTATATGATAGCGATAAATGCCAACAACCATCAGATTGCGCAAAGACATGGGTTGTTCGCAGCGACTGAAGGACAAATCCTCGACATGAGTCTCTATGAGGCAATTCCCGATGTTGATGCAAGATGGAGAGCATGGAGCAAAGTCGAGTCCGTAAAGAGGTGGGTATCTCAACGGTGAAAAGAGGAGTCCAGCTCCTGCTGACTCGCTGTGCAGGCTTATCGTCGGACTTTTGCTACTCGACTCCTGGTACTCGTCCTTCTTATCAACGAGCCCCATAATCGTACCAGAAGCAATACAGCTTATTTTACCATGTGACGAAGCAATCTTTGACGCGAAAAATGCCATGCACTGGATGCAGCTTATTCGCATTGGCAAGCGAATTTTGATGCCGACCGTGGTTGCTCCATCAGAAAATGTCGACCTTCCAACGCTAGACGGCTCAGTCGACGATCTGTGCATGCACGGGGTGTTGGCAATGGTTCAACTCCGGCTCTGTGAGGCTTACCACCGCCTATTATCGAACCGAGCAAATTACCCGTTCGCGCCATGCCATACCTACGCTATGGACGGTCGTGCAAGATGCCTGCCAACGCTTCAGCTGCAAATAGCTAACAAATATAGCGAGGCCCTGGAACGACTTAATCCGAACGCTGTAGTGATGTGGCACAATATGTGCATGACGCTCACTGCGGACATCCAGATATTCGACCTGGCTGCGGGTCGTTCGGGTCCTCTGCCAGCCCGGAAAGCTCTCGATGATATCGCCGCGTGGTCGCAGACACCAGCAGCCCGAAGGGCGTGTCTCCACGCGGCCCAAATATACAAAGCCATGGTCAACCGCAAAGCTTCCGATCACACCATGTTCCACTCGGTGCTCGCACTCTTCACTGCGGCACTCGTGCTGGGACTGTATACATTCATGGCACCACGTCCGCCAGAGTCAACTGCCGGATGTATTTCAGTGGAACTCCTGGACGACGTTGACTGGCAGCAAGTGGGGCGAGAGGGTTTCACCAGCTTCATGGAACCTCGCGGTAGCCATGCATTCACCGCTTCGGACAATTCGGCAGTTGATTTCATTCGTAATGGCGGTACATTGTACCTTCGGGGAATCCCAGTGCAAGGAGGCTATCAATCTGCGCGGCGCATACTGCTAGACTACGCGGGGCTCCTGAAGGACTCGAAGAAATGGAGCGTCCGAAAGTTCTCTCACGTCCTTCATATAATGAGCGATGTCCTCATGGATATGGAATAAGGCCTTGGGGACTGCGCTTCAAAAGACTATTAATTTGACTTTGTATGTCCGGTTAGAAGATATCTGGTTATCAATCACTCCGACTCTGCCTGGATCCTTGACGTGAGGCTTCTTACGGACTTCAGTCATTCGACATTATGATTGACGCTCGTCCTGGAAATGACTCCAGGGTTCTGTCCAGCTGGCTGGACGACTTACATCGATGGCCCCTTATTCGGCATCTTTTATTATTGACAGCACCTACGTTCACTTCAAATATCTATTGAAGATGTAAGATACGTATTATGATTATGATTATGGCATGATGACCGTTGATGGTGAAGCGCGTCTTCGTGTCTAATGGCCTCTGAGATGACCGTATGGGGAAGCCTTCCTGAATTCATGATCCCAGCGATTGACCGGCATCTGTACGTCTATATTATTTCGTTGTTTACAAGGTCATACGAGGCGAACAAGACATCACCACTGCCGAACCCGACTCAAAAGCTTATCCAACTCCTCCGGCGAGGCAATGACGCTCAGCATATACATTTGGCCATCCCGAAGATACGAATCTCCCTTTGGATCACCGGCCAACACCACCCTCGAACACCCACAATAGGAATCTCCGAACCACAATGCCTCCCCGTCTCTATCTCTCTTCGCCTCGACATGCTCCCCCTCCGACTCAACCAACAAGGGCTGGTTGGTCTCAGTATACTTGGAAACGCTCAGCCCGTTGCACCGCGCATCCGGCATGTGCCACACATCTTCCAGGACAAGCTTGTTCGGCCGAGGATCACGAGGCCCGCGCTGGACCTGCAGCTCGACCGTGCCGATGCCCAGGACTCGCGACCGGCCGATTTTCCCTGGTGCGCGGCGGTAGGAGGTGAAGGTGGAGCGGTTTTTGGCGTAGTGGCAGTTGCCGCCGACGACGATCCAGTCCCAGCAGCGGTTATATTTGTGGTGAGAGTTGGTGTTGGCCTTCTGGCGCCGATGGTGCGAGGGGGTTGAGGCTTGCGAATGCGATTGCGTTTTCCTCTGGACCTGGGAGTCCCGACGACCATGCAGTTCAGCCATTGTTTTCAGTGTAGAGAGAGACAGTAGATGCCACAGGCAAGAGAATGAAATGAATCAGGTTAACATTTATATATAGATTATTGAGCGATCGACAGGTGAAACATAGATGCCTGCACATAACTCCTTTCTACAGACCGCCAACATACCAGTAAGACAATATTAATACCCGCCTTTATTAGCCACCCATAACACCCCCGTGGCAATTCCCTACCACATGGGGAATATCTCACCCGCCAGACCGAGCGACACGTTATCCATGATGTAACCTTATACACGGTGGAATCTCATTGCACCGGATGATCAGATATTCCAGTTCGTACAAAGCGACCCATGAAACCATTCGAAAACTCAATCTGTGTAGGTGAGCGATTTTGTTGACCCTGGGGAACAGCTATTTCCACCTTGGTCTGGCCCATATCTTTGACGTCAGGAACCGGGTGAAGGGGATGGCGACCATGAATAAGCTCAGGTTTAGAACGGGAGTTAAGTTTGAAGTTTGGTTTATGGTAAGATTGTTTATCCGTGCGGTGAATTAAATGCTGACGATATATTTCGTTTGTGAGCGAGCTTCAGGCAAGATGAGTGGAGGAATGGTATCTTGATGTACTGATCTGCATGTATCTGCTGGTCCGTATTCTGCATCCGGATACTGCAGCAGTGTATGAGTCTTCCAAATCCATTTGTATGTATAATTCGTCGATCTGTATATAAGAGCGATATGTGCGTAAGCGGGTATAGTACAAATTCAACTGCTCCAAACACCAGCTTCGAATCACATGCTTCACCTGTAGAGAAGACCCTCGACCATCTCCGCAATGGCAAGCGAGCTCGTCAACCCGGGACTCTCGATCCCCAGTAGATTGATGAATCCCGGGAATCCCTCCTCCTTCTGAATGACAAAGTCCTGGAACCCCTTGCCCGTGTTGACGGCGCCGCCTCGGCCCAGCTTGGGCCGGATGCCGCAGTAATCCAGGCTGATGGCTTCCGGGTCAACGTGAGGCAGGTACGCCTTGATCTCCGGGAGGGCCTGCTGCAGCCTCGCCGGACTGGGCTTCAGGTCAGTCGGATCATCCACCCACTCCACATCAGGTCCGAAGCGGATACGTCCGGCCAGGTCCAGCGTCAGATGAGTCCCCAAGCCTCCATGGCCAGGCAGCGTAGCAGGATAAACCAGCACGGAAGTCTTGGGGAACGAGGCCGAGTACGAGAAATACGTGCCCTTGGCGTAGTGCGGGGTGCGGTGACGCTCCCGCGGCAGGACCATGTTATTGATAGCGCAGGCGCCGTTCCCCGCGCTGTTGATGAGCGTCTCCGCCGTGATGGACGTCTGCGTGCCGTCCGCCGATACAGCCGTGATCCTGTACCCGTCCCGGCCGCCATTCAGCGCCTCGATCCCCGTCACGTTCGTCAGGAACGCACAGTCCCCGCCGCGGTCCTCCAAGTCGCCCTGCAGGTACATCATGAGCGAATGGCTGTCGACGATGCCTGTCGTCTCGCTCTCCACTATCCCCGCTAGAGCTTGGACCTCGGGTTCCCGTCGCTGGGCCTCCTCGCGTCCGACGAGCCGGGTCGGTACGCCGAGGGTCTGCGCAAGCTTGTGTGTGCCGAGCGCGGCGTTCCATTGTTCCTCGTTCTGGGCGACGATCCATTTCTTCGTGTTGCGGTGCGGGATGCCCTGTTTTGCGCAGAGGTCGTACATCATTTGTTTTCCTCGGATGCAGAGTTTCGCTTTGAGGGAGTCGGTTCCGTAGTATATCCCAGCGTGGATTACCTGTGCATTGAGCGATCATGTTAGTCCATATGCGTAAAAAAAACGACTGGAATCAATCACCTCGGAATTGCGACTGCTCGTCTCGGTCCCCGCTGCATCATGCCTCTCCAAGAGAATAGTCGATGTACCCTCCCTCGACGCCAACTGCCGCGCAATCGCAAGACCTACAACGCCTGCTCCAATCACCTTGTCATCAATGAGTATTCATGTCATTAAGCTGAATGCATGGTATCGCTGCGTTGCGAGGCATCAGAAAGTCTTCGGAAGGGACTTTACCGCATGTGTGACGTCTGCGCTGGAGGCCGGCGTGCTCGAGAAGTTGCGCCGTGCGAGGAATGGCCTGGACACGGCGATGCAAGCGCGGGTAGCCATCGCTGTCGTCGTCACTGAGACTACGGTCTGATGTCCACGTATGTGCAAAGTAATATCCGCTGACGTTCACAGAGATTGAGTGATAAATCATGGCTGAGACGCAATAACCGAAGTGGGAATCGGGATGAGGCCGATGGCCGATGGCCGATAAGGCTGCGATAAGACTCCATCAACCGAGTCATGCTCTCGCAGTCCTCACCGAGTGTGAGAGGCCTTGAGATACATTCTACGATGAACACTTATTTGCTATGCTTTATTGTGTCAGTTAATAAGCATTCCTATGGTTCAATGCCGGTCTAGTTGCAGGTCAACGGTAGATCACGAGAGAAAGAGATCATCCTGAAAATATTTCTGGTACAAATATACCATTGTGCTAATGAAAATATCGTACAACCCAGTCTATATAATCATAAGTAATCACAATCGACATACAAGCTCTAGCCCCGTTTTGCAACGTTCTTGAGCATCTCATCCAGGTGCTGCCAAGAGTCAGCGATGTCCAAATCCACAACTAGGAAGTCGCATACCTGTTTCTGTTCTGTCGCTAATTTGCCATGGGTATCCTACGCTCATGTCAGAGATCAGACGCATCTTTTGGGCTAATGATCCAGCTTACACTGATGATGGTCAAAACCAAAGAATAGTTGTTAAACAAAAATCTCTCCCTTCTCTTTGCGTCACCACCACTCCGACTAAGTTTAGTTAACAGGCCGTCGAATTCGGCGGTCAATCGCTTCAAACTGTTCGCAACAGGTTCGTCATCTCCAGCATCGCTGCTGAGTACCAGGATCCCATGCAGGAGCTGACCAAACCGTTGTGTGAGAAAGTGGGGGGCTGAAGATTGAGTCAAGTCGTCGCCTCCAGCTAATGACAAGGCAGAAACAGCACTCCGACCTGTGTTGGACGCCACTCGCTTCAAGGACTCTCGGTGAAGGTCCATAATGACCTGGAATCTGGGCCATAGCTGCATGTTGATTCCGTTGATGTAGGAATCGGCAACAGGCACTTTCCGACGTTGCAGTTCGAATGCCGCTTGCTGGTTCAATCGTACACAGATCAACACTCCCAATGAGTCTGTCGAGTTCTCGATCAATTGTTTCGTTAGACCTTGCCCGAGAGCGAAAACAGGTTCGAACATCTCAACCGCCTTCCGAGAAATCTGGTGGAAGGACAAGCTAGAGAACATCTCTGTCATGAAAGAATATTCGGCCGATATGTTGTCCACCAGAGCCAGGTTGAAGTTTCTGAAAGGGACTTCAATTCCATGGAACGCATTATCCTCTTCAGCGAGATATGCAGACAAGGCCATGTGGTTACTTGTCCGAATTATGTCAATACGTCTCCCCAGCGAAAACGGGTCATGCGCTGCGGACCCAGAGCGACCTGAGGTGATGATATGCCCTATCGGGATTTAAGCCTTGACTGCAGAGAAGAGCAACTGGACAAACACATAACGAACCTGTCTTCGGCGCGGAAGGGTCTCCCCCCAGTATGTCGTTCCTATCACTCGGATACACTTTGATCTTTTCAAGAGCTTGCAGATAGCGAGTAAAATGAGAGAGATAGTACCAGCGCATAGTGTTAATGTATGCCTGCGTAATCTCTCCCGTCAGCTGCGGGTGAGCTCGGGAGATATAACTGTACAGGTCCTTAAACTTGACCAAGCGTTGCTGCTGGATAATTTGAGCATTGATGTTCGGAGAACGCAATGCTCTGATCTGGGACACCAGGTAGTCCCGGATCCTTTCCACTGCCTGCAACTCTCATCAGCAAGGACTGGAAGTTTGGGTCCATAGAAAGATACTGACTTTGTTCTTGATATCATTTAGAAGCGGTCGCACGTCTTCAATTGCTTTTGCGCTACTGCTACCAGAAACCTTGGCTTCCATACTCGTCATGCGTGCTTCGATCTCATTCAGGGCTTTGACCCAATTCTCGTCAATGGGTCCCTCGGCAATCAATCGAACAGCTCTCGGCGAGATACTGATTTCCTCAACGGCAGGTCCAAGAAGTTGCTCTACTTTGCGCCGGTTCTCCAGCATCGCATTCAACTGTACAGACCGAGTCTGGAGAGTCTCTATTTCAGCAGAAACAGCACCAAGTTCACTTTGAAAGTCACTCAGATACATCTCAACTGATTTTGAGACATCATCACAGCTCGTGATGGCAGCATGTAATTCCTGAAACTTATCTCTTTCTTTTTCGAACTGCTGGAGCGTTTGTGCACTGACATCGGTAGAGGTAGCCCTCCGTGGCTCGCCTACTTGAAGTACGAACTCCTCAAGACTAAGGTCTCGGAAGTCTATCGACTCAACCAGGTGCAACGGTTTTGCTTGAGAGGCTGACGTCTTCAGATGAACACTTGTCTCACTGTCACCCTTCTGCTTTCCAATTATATCCTTCAATACCTCGAGCGGATCAGCTACGTCAGAAGGACGGGACCTTGCAGCACCTTGTTTGGTAACCGAGCCATTGACCCCGCGTGCGGTTGCCGGTAGAGAAGTGGTCGAGTCACTTGGTGTCAGCAGTACGGATAATGAGGAGCCTTGCCGGTTCTGACCCGGACGACTATTCGGTGGAACAGGCGACAGGAGGGAGGAAGATCTTCGCGGAGCAGGTGAATTGCTGCGACTATCGAAAGGGACACCGGAGGGGGTGGAATGGCCTGATATGCGATCAAGCCACATCTTGGGAAGCGGGCACGGAAGAGCGTGCGGAAGTTGAGAAGCTCACAGGCCTCATTGAAGTCGAGCGAGGGTTGTCTGCGGAGTATATAGATCTATGCCGGACAAGCTCTCAGCACTGGAGGCATGCAATGCAATTGATACCTGACTGATATCTTGAGCAACTCAGTCAAACCAGAAACGACAACTCATGGACATAGAGGCATGTCTCGGCTCCTCTTCAAGATTAGATGATCGACATGCACAGCATACCACTCCGTCTGTTATCAAGCTTCCACATCACCAGCTGTTTATGGGCAGGTCGAGATGCTACGGTTCGCGTCAAAGACCACAAGTGTAGCCTAATCGAGGCTAAACCTCTTTAGGGACTAGCGACACCGAAACCCCGCCACAACAAAACTGCCATTTTTTTTCGCAGGCGATTTGTCGATTTCTTTTCGCCCGTTCCTCCACCGTCTCCTCTAAACCCTCTTGAAACTTTTTCTCTTCCCTTTCTTCTCTCCTATCCTCCTCTATCTTAAAAGAAAAACAAATCAGGTGTCATCCTGTTCTACTCTCATTAATCCTCCATCCTCATTCACCCTTTCACACATTCACCATGGCTGACGAGGTATGACTAAGTCTTGATTCACTGAGTACTTCCTGCGCTGTTGCTCTGAGGCAGCCCCGCATCCATGCACATGTCCCCTCTTCTGCTTCATACCTCAACTATGGAGCGACGAAGCAACGACTAATTTCAACCGCCATCTTATTCAAACTGGATAATATTCACTGACACTTGTTTCTTTCCAGCATGAGACCTTCGAGTCTGCCGACGCTGGCGCGTCCGCGACCTACCCCATGCAGTGCTCCGCTCTGAGAAAGAACGGTCACGTTGTCATCAAGGGTCGCCCCTGCAAGATCGTTGAAATGTCTACCTCCAAGACTGGCAAGCACGGCCACGCCAAGGTCCACATCGTCGCCATCGATATCTTCACCAACAAGAAGCTGGAAGATCTTTCCCCCTCCACCCACAACATGGACGTCCCCAACGTCACCCGTCGTGAATACCAGCTCGTAAGTCAACCTGCTAAAGCCGAGTCGTTCTTCGCCTATGCATGAGTTGCTGATCTTGCTTTACAGCTTGATGTCACTGACGACGGTTTCCTCTCCCTCATGGACGAGGCCGGTAACACCAAGGACGATGTCAAGCTCCCCGAGGGTGAGGTTGGTGACAAGATTAACAAGATGTTCAACGAGGAGGGCAAGGACTGCAGTAAGTGCCCGGCATTACGCCTTGAGTCTTGAATTTTATTAACATGAGATATTATAGACGTCACCATTCTCACTGCCATGGGCGAACAGGCCTGCATGGATGTCAAGGAGGCTCCCAAATAAATGATCCCAACATTTATAGACCTCTTCTTGCTCTGTCGGCCATTGTGTCTCCAAGGGTCTCCTTTTTATGTATGTCCTTTAGTTCATGGATGATGCGACGTTTTGGGCGATTTATGGCATGTCTGTTGCTTGACTTATGTCCGCCAATATAGCCTTGGATGTGCGCTGCACCAGCAAAAGGAATTGCTTTAAGTTGACAGCATCACGTGCCCTCTGCCAGGAAGCGGTCTTGCTCTTACGATAGTTTGACGATCAAAAAATTTACACGCCTAATTAGGACAATAATTTTCATACGCGTAGCTGCCTGTAATCTTCTCTCTTCAGGTTTCCAGCTATTTTTCTCTGTTTGAGCTGTAGAATGGACATGACATTCTTTACCAGAAAAAATATTCAGATGTTTCTGGAACACTTTTTTTAAATTGGCAAATTAAGTGGTGATGAACCAATCGACCACCACCAGTGCGATCCAAGTTGTGAGGTATCAAAAATTCTTTTCTGGTATGAGCATCTATGAACCGAACCACATGCTGAGAATTTCTCCCGCTGCTCTTCCACCCCACCAGGCCATTCAAGAATGATCACAGCTGCCCTGGATGGAGTACACCACCCGAGGGGTCTGTGGGCAGGACGGGTGCCGTGAGACTCGATATTATCTAGACAACGGTCTATGGTTTTGCAGGCGGGGTCATCAGCAGGAGGTACGGCCAAACCAGCCCAACCCCACCTTCTTCAACGCATCACGCGAAAGCTTCTTAGGTCCCGTTGATTAATTTCTCCTGCAGGGTTTACAAGTCGAGGAAGATCCCGACGATTTCGGTACGCAGGGCAAGACAAGTCGTGTGAAGAAGGCTGTAGCTGAAAAGGGCCATAAGAGTGAGCATCCGATAACCATGTCTGAAAAGATTGTATCTTTGTTAAGGGTGTGATAGCGTATCGTGGTCGACAGGCGTACAGCCTTTTCTTGCAGATTTATCAATTGATTCTATGGGAACAATGTCACGCCTTGGTTCAGGGACGAGGCTTTCCAGCGCAGCTTGAGGTAAGTGGAACTACAGCCATCATCCCGATAACAGTGCCTGACTGTTGAGATTTAGGGTGTGGTCCGAGATCTTTGGGCCCTTCGTTTGGAAAGTCTGTCGGAGCGACTCAATGACCCTGCTGAGGATGATAGAGAACCTGAACTCTTCAGTTCACAGCCTGCCACGACGCTTGATGAATCCGAGAGAGCTTTCAAGCTCAGTGGGAGAGCGACCCAATGGCCCAGACTGATTGACACAATCGGGCTGTGTTATTTGGGCTGCCTGCTCATGAGGCTTCCAGTCACTGTTGGAGAATTTCATCGGTAAAACTTCTTTACAATTCATAAGAACGAGAATGGTCATCTGACTTTGGCTCTCTTCAGGATGCTCATGCGAGAAGATATTCCTTTCGTCAGGGTCCTCAGATCAATCCCACGGGAGATGAGGGATAAGTTACCCCAAGAGTATATCTCTCTCTTGGAGACTACTGTAAGCTTCTACCTTCATGACGCCGACGTTGTCAGTCCTAACCCTCGGATAGAGATTGATAAAGGCTGAGCATCTTCACAAAGCGACCTTGGAGCTATCGCTCTTGTATCACATCAAGTTTGGCGTTCAATTTCCGGCTTTAAATACACCGGCCGTGTTATATCGATATATCAAACGTCTCGCGCTCCCAGGTACGAGGTGTTCATGCTTGATATTTTTCAGTTCGCAATCTTCTAACCTTCATGCAGTCGAGGTATATCCCGCTGTTAAAAGGCTACAAAGTCTCGTGGGCTTCACATTTGAGTTTCCAACCAGCGTCTCGGGTAGAACTCGGCCACTCCACCTGCCTGAAGTGCAGCTTATTACGCTTATTGTCATTTCTACTAAATTGTTCTTTCCATTTGACGATATCAAGAGGTACCCTGTCTCGACACGGGAACCCAGCGCACAGGTGCTCGACTGGAAGCTTTGGGCACAAGTTCAAAGACACTTCGACAGTCGAGAAACGGCGGGAGGCAGGATCGGCAAGGGGAATGAGATACTTGTCACCGAGAAAGACGTCTTCAACATGACTCCGGCCCAGTTGGATGAATACATGGACTGGTACGAGACCAGTTGGCTGGATCACAGCAGAGGTAAAAGGCCCCTTGCAACTCCGTCCTGAGAGGTTTGACGAAAGCTAATCCCCAAAAGTTTTGAATCCGTTAGCAGAATTCTTCCCAATTGGTCCGACAGGCTCGGAAGGCCAGGCGGTTAGCGACTCCATGGAAGGAGATGATGAAGCTATGCATGCAATGCTGCAGACAGTTACGAGCCAACTGAAACCGAGAAAAGCTATCTCTGATCCTGAGGCCGATGTGGCTCGCCCGGGTTCATCGTATCCACGCTACCGAACCGAGTCTGATCTGCCAGACATGGCAAGGCCCTTCTACAAAACGGCTGCCAAAGTATCAGGGGTCTCTTTGTCCACACTCGTCAGAGCTGTATCGCAGACTGAGACCAAAATCTCTCGGTGGTTGGACAATCAGAGGAGGATTGAACATCACGGAGATCCTACGGAAATGGACTTGATTGATGAAGCAAGTACGGATGATATGGAAGCCATGGAGGATGAGGATATGTCTGGTTTGAGTGACGAGTCCTGACTGTATGCATTGGCTTGATCAAATGTCTGGTCGATATGCTAGATAGCAATTCCTCGCTAAGAATTTAGTCATATTTTGCCTCAGGCACTTAATGAAAAAGGGGGTGTTTCCTGAAGCAAGAAATTGATTGAGTCGAGCTAAAACAAAAATTAGTTCTGACTGGACATCCGATGTGCATCCAGCAACGTAAGCAAGTCCTAGGCCGGTATGTACGTAGTTGGGTCGTTCGATGGATGGAAATTGCGGAGAGAACCCAAAACGGGAAAGTGGCACCTGCTGACGGGCGGCTACCAAAGGTGATGACGAAAGTAGGCATTAGGGCTTAGGGTATCACCAAGTCGGTCCACCCAGGCTAAGCGAGAAATCCTCAAATTGACATTGCCTCCTACGAACGAGTAGACAGCGATCGTCAGCCAGCAACAACGAAAAATCGCAACCAGTACGTACACCATCATGTTCTCCTACGCTATCTATTTGATCTATGGATCACGAGCTAACATAATCTTTTTTCTGTGATTTTACAGTGCAGATGTAGGTCTTCCTGAGCCGTTCAAACCAACCGAGTTCCCATTTACCCAACCTCATCCCAATCATCGGCACGATCTACGCGGAGCATCGAGAAAGGCCATGACTGATATGTTTCAATCAATAGTTTCGTCAAGACCCTGACGGGTAAGACCATTACCCTCGACGTTGAGTCGAGCGACACCATCGACAACGTCAAGGCCAAGATCCAGGACAAGGAGGGTATCCCCCCTGACCAGCAGCGCCTGATCTTCGCTGGTAAGCAGCTTGAGGATGGCCGCACCCTGAGCGACTACAACATCCAGAAGGTACGCGAATTCTCTATCGGACGACGCTTGGGTTTCTTTTCATTATGCGCATGGTGTATTGTCGGATGATGCGGGTTGTTTGCTGGATTGCTGGACTTGGTTTCCGGATACTCCGGCAGGGAACGTCTTCGCCAGGAGATGAATTGGATTGTTACGGGGGTTCTATGGTTATTGAGAAGGATATGTTGGGCTGACGGGATAATTTTGCCCACATTTAGGAGTCCACTCTCCACCTCGTCCTCCGTCTGCGTGGTGGTATCATTGAGCCCTCCCTCAAGGCTCTCGCTTCCAAGTACAACTGCGAGAAGTCCATCTGCCGCAAGTGCTACGTACGTCTTTGTCTCCCGATCGCTCGACCCGACGTGTCTCGAGCGACATATCAGACCCGTCGCAGGGCACGGTCGCTTTGAAGTTCTTGCTAACTTGATCCCTGGACAGGCCCGTCTTCCTCCTCGTGCCACCAACTGCCGTAAGAAGAAGTGCGGTCACACCAACCAGCTGCGCCCCAAGAAGAAGCTCAAGTAAACGATTTCTATCTTGTTACGGTTTTTCTGCGTTGCTGGGGGAAAGAGATGCTCGGAGCCATGACTTGATTGCTGCATGGGAGGGTTTAAAAGGCGTTGGAATGATGAAACATTATAGCCGAAGTCACATATTTTAGTTGACTCCTCTCGAAAGAAGTTGCGCAATCAAACATCTGTAAAATTCAATTTTGCTCTCTCGATCCTATGCCGCGGGAATACGAATACAGATTTGCGTTCAAAAAGAACCATGCAGAGATATATGAGACTGGGGTTACAGAAAACATTGTGCGAATGACGTTGTGCTGCCTGAGCCAACGTCGTGCGCCGGGTCAAGATTGTAAAAACACACTCGGCCCTCTCACATCAGAACATCCGTCGCTTGTCGTCATGGTCATCGTCATCGTGGTCCTTGTTCTTCTTGGAAACGGGGCTTCCATGCCTGCACCTCGTTAGTAAATGATCAGTGGATCCAAAATAACCCGACTTACGCAAAAAACAAGATCTTGATAGCAATTGCGAAACCCGCATGGAGAACAATGACCAAGATCAAGAGGATCTTGCTCGCCTTCGCATCTGTAGCACTCAGAACAGGGTACAGGTTCCGAAGCAGGAAGAAGACCGTCCAGCCGAAGCCAACACCCACAAGAGCCCAGTTGAGCGCAGTGAGAGGGCTCCAGCTCACCAGCGCAACAGCGATCCAAACCAGATTCGAATAGCCGTACAATGCCCAGCATTCGATTAAGTCCGCGGTGGAGCTACCGAACCAGCGCAACGCACCCCACAAAGCGATGGGGATGATGCCCGTGTACCCGTAAACCAAACCCGCAGCACCCGAGAGAAGGGTGAAGTCGTATTCAAAATGCTTGTCGTCGTTGTTCGAGAGCCATTGCGAAATCGTACCGGTCAGGAAGAGGATGACGACTACCGTTGTTGCGATCCAGAACGGACCGTACAGGTCCGCGTTACCTTCCAGAACATCAAGGAAGTTGGTACGTGGGTACAGCGCCGACACACATCGCCGAAGCACCTCGTTTGTATCGACGTCGAAGAACTGCGAGTAGTAGTGGATAGACCACCAGGCATGTTTTGAGGGCGTGCCGCCGGGGGATCTGTCGCGGCCGCGGGAGGTGCCTCCGCCGAGGAAAGGAGCGGAATCTTGCTGAGCTTTTGCGCTTCGGGGGTCGTTTTCAAAGTCTATTAGTTGAAGATATAACAATCAGTGCTTGAAAGATGTAAATGTAGAGTTGCTTGCGAATTCGCCTTACTGGATGAGTGGAATTCAAGGTCTTCCTGGAGGTCGGTGTGACCGAGGTCGCCCTAGAGCAACATTAGACCAAGTATTCGCTAGGGAATCAGCATTCAAATCAATTTTTACCTCAGCATCGACATCTACAACCACATCATAGCCCCGGTTTGCCATATCGGCTTTCGTTCTTATAGTGAGCTGTTGTTGATCTTCAAGAAGGGAGAGATGCAGGAAATTAGAGTACACATCAGCTGTCAGGGCGCTGATGATGAAAGCCACACACCAGCCACCAACTACGGAGTACTGTGGAGACACCCAGACCGACTACCTACGTATGCCAATTTTGCTAAAATGCCGACAGTCGATGCAACCTAGTCTTGGACGTAGAAATGGGCTTTAACAGATTGATTTGATTAAGCAAGATTATTTTGATTAATGGTACTATTGTACATACTTGCACATCTTCACGGCATTGACGCTCTTCCCTCGCATCTGCCGTATCTTGTCGGCACCATAGTGAAAGCGCAGTCCCATCGAAATCAAAGCAAGCCATACTTGTGGAAAGTCATTTTCAATCCAGCGAAATACGACCACAGGGGCGTATCGAACCCTTTCTTTCGGATCCAGACAGACACGGCTCCAATGAAGATGGCAACTGCCATCGACCCAATCGTCCTCTTGTGATGCCACAAAAAATTGAGGGCCTTTTCTCTTAGTTCCTCGTTATGCAGCTGTCGTATTTGTTTTTCGAACAGTCGTATCGCTTCGTCCCTGGTTTGCTTACTGAATGGGTCCCGTGAAGTCTTGAGCACACTGTGCTGAGAGATCCTCTTCCAAGCCCCGAAAGGCAAAAGCTCCGGTGGGTAATCATTGAACAGTTGCATGGCGCTCGATATGAGACTATCCAGATCAAGAGGCTGTGGTAATTTTGAGAGAGTAAAGTGCAACATCTCAGGTTCGTCTGCAGGAATCTCCAGCAGCTCCTCCTTGCGTGAGAGTATGATCGCTGCGAAGAGGTAGATAGAAACGACAGGCTCCGTAGCCAAGAGGAAATCAAACAGCCGTGCAATGTCGCTGTACTCTTGGATATCATGGGCATACAGTGTGAGTGTTGCTGCAAGGGCAAAGAATGGTTTTATGCCTCCGAGGTGCTCCCGCAAGGCTGGATCAGCTTTCTCGATGATCGCTGGAATAAGCTGCAAATGCTTCAGCGCAGGGGAGAGAGACGGCAGCATGTAGTCCCTAATTCGGAACAGGGAGATATTGGTCACAGCTGGGGCAGCCTCCTTTTCACCAAGTACCAGAAGTAGAACTTGTACGATATCATGGTACCCCTGGAAGTAACAAAGCATCGGGTACTTCCGAAGTACTTTCCTTATGAGGATTGATAATTCGTCCTTCTTCAGCAACAGTTCATCCTCAGCGCCTATAAATATATTCAGCCAATGATAGCGAGAATTTGCAGGTCCTGAGAGTTGTACATTGAGGATAGTACACAAATGAACGATTTACGTCCAGTTGGACCTGGCCTTCATCTCCATGCGAAGGCAGGTCTTCCCAAGACGCGAAATCTGAGCCTTGTACATCTCTGTCGCTTCGAAGAAGAATGGGCCCTAGTTCGATGTTACCAAGACATTTTCAATCCGTTGACCAGCAACTTACAGGCTGATCGCCTGAGATCATCGTTCAGAAGACCCCCCTCTGAGGTCGCAAAGGAGACGAGTGCATCGAAATCGCGCAAATCGCATGCTTTTCGAATTGCTTCCTCTTTCTTGGACCGATGAGCGATATCCTCATTGTCTGAATCCAACAACTTTCCTGGAGGATTGTTTTTAGGTATTTCTTGCTTTTCGTCCAAGGTTCCTTTTGGCTGTGTCTTGAAAGAGTCATCCATTTTGGCAAATGGATGGATGATAGCTCGCTCCTTAACTCGAGGCACAAAATCTCATGTCTCCGCAGATTGAGACAGGCTTGTGGCATCAAATGCCTGCCAAGAGAAGAAAAAGGGCACTTTTTGCGTAGTGTCCTGCCTGGTGGACGATTAAGACAGGCTGGGTATTACGCAATAAAGATGAGCCTCCTGAATTGAAAACGGAACATTGCCATGAGCGAGGATATTTACTTTAGTGATTCTGGGTCAACACCAAGCGATCCTTCCATAAGATTATAAACAGCGACAAGCACGTCTCTGAAGACAGCAATCAATGTAGGAGCAGCAGAGCTTCTAAAAGTTGATGCGCACAGCCAGAAATGGCAAACTTGCAGGCCTCAGGCCACCATCATCGGACGATATCCCGTGATTTGATTGAACCATCCACCGCCCAAAGAAGGAAAGGGAACAATCACCTATTGCTGAGCTTTGACGAAAGTAGAACCGTCAATATCCTATTAAATCCTCCATCTCAAGAGATATTGACATCGATTCTGGTCAATGCTATTACGAGTTGAGCCCTGGCTTAGCTGTGGAAAGAGCAGAAACGCCGGGTTCTTCCGTACAAGCCACAATAGTGGTGCAACTACAAGGAGGGGCATAGAACAAGATACTAATTATTATTCTTCGGCAAATTGATAGTTGCAATTGTATTGCTGCAAGCATCATCTGAGTCACAGTTGCAGTCCCTTCAAAGGTCTTTCGTCAAACTTCCCTGGTCGATTTCATCAGTCACTTAGGACCCGAAAGTACAAGTGAAGGTGTTATTGCTAAACACCTATAGTTTTGCTACACTGTAAGTGTGTTCCCTGTCACCTCATGCCCCTCCTCACCTGGCCGAAGTCTTCCTGACTTGTCGCTCAGATAAAATATTCTATGCGGGCTGCTGCCTGGCGATGATTATTCTGCCATATCACCAAAGTTATCTGCTTACTCCACAAGTTGCGGAATTGCCATACCGTGACTGTTCCAAGTTTCCCTAGCGGACTCAAAATGGGACCAGGCACCGAGACTACTTTGGCTCGTGAACAAAGGCACATACTTGACTTCTAAATCCTGTGCAAGACTTAGCTTTTTGTGTTCGTCTTCCATTCGCCTCTATATTACTGCCAGTATTGTTGTCATTGAGAATTTTGTCGAGTCACAATGTCCCTTCCACTGTTTGATCAAGGTTTTGATGCTCCTGGCAAACGACAGGATATGGATCAAATGGATATAGAGCAAGAAGGGCCATCAAGTACGAAACCCATGGTCGGGCTGCTCTCTCAGACGCTGGTCTCCAGCCCCATCATCCAATTGATTCTGCCAGCGCGCTTGAGAAGCAAGCACCAAAACGATGTTGTCTTTGTTGGCGAAAGGCACATACAAATCAAAGAAGCGCTATCTGGCGTCCACTTGGAAGATGTCAATTCAAAATCTGATTTCGATGCTTACATCATGGCAGCGAAGGTCATCAATGTGAGCACAGAATTACCTTGGGAGGCCCAGATGAAGCTGGCAGCCAGCAAAGCAGCTGTCATGGATCCTGGATCGCGGCAAGAGCTGCCACCACAAATACTGGTTCTCAGTCTTGCATCGAGAGAACTCGTCTTCCTATATTTTTCGTCAACGAGCGGCCATTTCATTCACCATCATCGACCCCTGCCAAATGATGTCAGTACATTTGAGAGATTTGGCCGAAACATCGCGGTGGAGCCACGGTAAGTCTTCCCACTGTACATGGAACTACCCATCTAACGGATTCAAAAGGTCCCGTGCGGTAGCAGTTAGTGCTTCAGCCGATTATTTTGGAGTGTTCATGTTGAAGAAGCCGCCAGTTCTCCAGTCACAGATGGCTTCGGGCCAATTGGATCCCATCACAGAGGTATGCAATCCAGCGCTCGATAGTCATTCCGGATACTCACCGCAGCACGACTTCTATAGGAACGCTTCTTCCGTGTAGAAGGCGACATCCTGTTCATGGAGTTTTTGTACCCGAAAGCCGAAGATGGTGACAAAATCATCCTGTTGCTCTTGGTTTCACAGGATCAGGTGACGCAAGCTATCTGCTATGAATGGCATGCAGACGAGACGATACGACAAGTGTCTCCAAGAATTACAAAGAGGTTCCTTCCACCTGAAGACACGTTACCCACGATGTTAATTCCATTGACCAAGACGTCATCCTTTATGCTAATTACAACGACTTCGATGGCCGTCTACAAGAATAGGCTTGATCCACGAAGACAGGCCAGCCGGTACCCTCTCCCTATTCCTGATCGCGAATCTCAAAAAGCACCCCTTTGGACGCGTTGGGCAAGGCCATTGCGCAATTGGTCATATAACCAGAGACACGACGATATTTACCTTTGCCGTGAGGATGGTAGGGTCTTTTACCTGGGGATCGGCAACGAAGGTGAGCTGGAAAATCAAGCACATCTGGGACAACTCTGCTGCGACGTCGATGCTGCGTTTGATATCCTCGATATTGGTCATGAAGGTGGAGACCTTCTTTTGGCCGCTGGAACCACAGGAGACGGTGGCCTTTTTGTTCAAAAGGCTCGTGACCAACCTCGATGTGTCCAAAAATTCATCAACTGGTCCCCAGTTACGGATTCCGTCATTGTGAGCTCTGACCAAGACTCATCAGCCTCAGACACAGCCAGAGACCGATTATTTGTGTGCTCCGCGTCCTCCTATGCGCGAGGTGCAATAGTCGAACTTCGGTACGGCTTGGAGGCGCAGATTGGCTTGGTCGTCTCTCTGGAAGAGTTGTCAGGCACGAGGGATATTTGGACAATGTCGGATGACGTGAATGGGGGTGTCTACATGTTAATCTCCGATCCCGTCTCCTCTCTACTTCTCTATCTGTCTGCAGACTTCGGGGAAGAGATGTGTGCTATCGACGAAGCAGATTCTGGGCTGGAATTTAGTACCCAGACCTTGGCAGCCGGATGCACCAGCTCCGGCGTACTCATCCAAATTACTGAGAAGGCGATTCTTCTCGGTACAGCGAATGAGCCCACTGTGAGGTCTCGCTTTGAGTTTGGCGCTGACCAAAGTGTTGCTGTTGCTGCGGTCCACAGCTCAGCATCACTAATTGTGTCTGCTGTTCGAACACAACATGAGATGCACCTCTCTCTCAAGAGGATTAACATTTCCCAGGACCAACTTAACTTATCCGAGATTGGTCAGCCTTTACAATTACCTTATGAACCTGTTTGCATTGTCGTTGAGGTTTTGGGCGCCTTTCCTCTCATCTTTG